ATAAAAGCCCTGGGGTCAAAATTGGCCCCGCCCCGGGGGGTCATTGATTTTCCCTATATGCATATAGTAAAAACTTTGAAAATCTTCTTTTAAAGAACTCAAAGAGCTATGGCTAAGATATTGAGCATCAAACATGTTCTAATAGGTGTCTACCAAGTTTGTTCAAATAAAAGCCCTGGGGTCAAATTTGGCACCACCCCGTGGGTCATTGATTTTCCTTATATGTGTATAGCAAAAACTTAAAAAATCTTCTTTGAAAAAACCCAAATAGCTAGAGTTAAGATATTAAGCATGAAACATCTTTTAGTGAGTATCTACAAAGTTTGTTCAAATAAAAGACCTGGGGTCAAAATTGGCCCCGCCCCGGGGGTCATTGATTTTCTTTATATGTGTATAGCAAAAACTTAAAATCTTCTTTGAAAAAACCCAAATAGCTAGAGTTAAGATATTAAGCATGAAACATCTTCTAGTAAGTGTCTACAAAGTTTGTTCAAATAAAAGCCCTGGGGTCAAAACTGGCCGGGCCCCAGGGGTGTCATTGTTTTTAACTATATGTGTATAAAAATCTTTTTTAAAAAGCCAAATGAGCTAGAGTTTAGATGTTTAGCATGAAACATCTTCTTATGGGTGTCTACCAAGTTTGTACAAATAAAAGCCCTTGGGTTAAGTTGGGGGGCCATAAACAGGTGAGCGACCTCAGGGTCATCATGGCCCTCTTGTTTACATGACTACTTACTAAGGGAACTGTATCGTTCACAAGATCTGATACAATAGCACAAAATGGATAAGAGTAAAGTCGACGCTTTTTTCTCAGTCCTATCTTCTTGGCCCTTTCTGTCAAACTTTGTATAAGAACCTCAAACACTAGTAGGAATACCTGAATGGGTCTAACTAAACAATGTCATGTAAACAAATAGAAAATACCAATATATCAACTAAAAGTCCACCTTAATTATTAATAAGTAAATTTACAGATATAACAGTAAACAGAACATGATTATATACTTACTATTATGGTTGTAAAAACAGAAAGTACAAATTATCTACCTGTTGACATTAATTCGGATTTTGTTAAATTGTACATCATTGGGCATTTTTAAAATTGATTATGACTGTCAGACATATTTTCAAACATAGTTTTACCGAAATAAACTTTATTTTCCTTTGGATATCAAATAAATACATTTGTTATGCATTATATCAATGATTACACCTCCTGTTTTTGTTTACATCTAAAACCATGTGGTAGAACAACTTTCAATCTTTATTAAGTCGGAAATTATTATTGATAATAGCTGAGATGTTCCGATTGTATTTTTGCAAAAATATTCAACATCTATATTTGTGCCACATTTTGATACTAAAAACTGTCAGACAAATTGATTGCGATGAATTGCTACGTCAACTTTTTACCTGACAGAGATCGCAATTGAATACAAAAATGGAAAGTTCATGAAGATATGTAGAATGTTCCAAACATTAAATCAATTCAGGCTGCTTATTTTGCCAAGTTTAAATCAGAAGTTTTGTTTTCAAGAATGACTAAAACCTGTCAGGCTAAAGTGGAAGTCGGATGCGCATGCTATAATAATGAGTTGGGTTATTTATTTAAATGCTACGTGTACACTGAAATTTTAAGTTATTTGAGTATTTGATTGATTTTAATTTCATATTTATGCATATACGCAGCTTATATGGAGCTCTGGATCCATTAATGGTAATTTAGCATTAAAATGATAATAGTATTTTAGCATTTAATTGATAATGGTTAATTTAATAGGTACATGTACATGTGTTTTAGCATTAAAAAATGATTATAGTAAAAGGTGTTTTAGTATTAAAAAAATAATTATGGTAAAAGGTATTTTTGCATGAAAAAATTATAAATTTATGGTAAAAGGTATTTTAGCATTAAAAAAGAAAGATTATGGTAAAAGGTACATGTATTTTAGTATTCAAAAAGAATTATAATGTTAAAAGGTATTTTAGCATTAAAAAGATAATGGTAATTGTTACAGGACAACATATTTTTTTAAAATGAATTAAAAGATTTTTTAATGGCTAAATGGCATTCAGGAAAGCAGAATCCAAAAAGAATTTTAGAAAACACACTGGTGTATTTTTCATGAATAATTGAAGAAGGACCATGTGGAAAAAAATCCACATTATCTAATTGTAAATCTGGAACTACCATTAGCCACCAGGGGGACATTTAATGTTGAGCCATAGGTCTGCTGTTTATGTATTGATGGCAAACTAAAAAGTATCCGACAAATGATATTAAAGGGAGTTTTAGAGTAACTGAATGCTACAATTAATTGATTTTTAAGTCTCCTATGGCCTTTAAGAGATCAATAGCTGTTCATTAGACAGCATTGATCTTTCTCCACAAAGCTCCCTGTAAAACTACACTGTCAATTATTTTTCTCACAGTATATCTTAATACTTGTTCCATAAAACAATTTTAGTGAATTCAATAGAAAAATTTCTGATTGGATAAAGAATTTTATTGTGTGTTCAAATTGTTTTGATTCTAGACTTTGATATGACATTGATGGAATTGGAGGATTTTATCCTATTATTGTTTAGTAATTTTGTAGGGTTTTATTTAAATTGAACATATGATAAAATGAAAGTAAAGTATTGTGTTTTACAAAAAGTATCTAATCTGTGATGGTATGTATGTAGTTTTTTGTCTGTGGTGGTATGTCTTTGAGGGTATTGTCTGTGACAATGATTGACACTGTTTCCTAATGTGCCTTTGACAATGAGTCATAGGAATGTTTGTGACATAATGTATGTGAGGTGACATAATGTATGTGAGTGTATTTCTGTGACAATGTATGTGAGTGTATTTCTGTGACAATATATGTGAGCGTACTTCTGTGACAATATATGTGAGTGTATTTCTGTGACAATGCATGTGAGTGTATTTCTGTGACAATGTATGTGAGTGTATTTCTGTGACAGTGTATGTGAGTGTATTTCTGTGACAATGTATGTGAGTGTATTTCTGTGACAATGTATGTGAGTGTATTTCTGTGACAATGCATGTGAGTGTATTTCTGTGACAATGTATGTGAGTGTATTTCTGTGACAATGTATGTGAGTGTATTTCTGTGACAATGTATGTGAGTGTATTTCTGTGACAATATATGTGAGTGTATTTCTGTGACAATGCATGTGAGTGTATTTCTGTGACAATGTATGTGAGTGTATTTCTGTGACAATGTATGTGAGTGTATTTCTGTGACAATGTATGTGAGTGTATTTCTGTGACAATGTATGTGAGTGTATTTCTGTGACAATATATGTGAGTGTATTTCTGTGACAATGTATGTGAGTGTATTTCTGTGACAATGTATGTGAGTGTATTTCTGTAACAATGTATGTGAGTGTATTTCTGTGACAATGTATGTGAGTGTATTTCTGTGACAATATATGTGAGTGTATTTCTGTGACAATATATGTGAGTGTATTTCTGTGACAATATATGTGAGTGTATTTCTGTGACAATGTATGTGAGTGTATTTCTGTGACAATATATGTGAGTGTATTTCTGTGACAATATATGTGATGTTTGTGATATTAAACTTGTACTAATAGTATGTTTTTGATAATATGTTTGAGTAAAAACGTTTGTGTGAAATAGTATGTTTGTGATAATATGTTTGAGTAAAAACGTTTGTGTGAAATAGTATGTTTGTGATAATATGTTTTAGTAAAAATGTTTGTGTGAAATAGTATGTTTGTGATAATATGTTTGAGTAAATACGTTTTGTGAAATAGTATGTTTGTGATAATATGTTTGAGTAAATACGTTTTGTGAAATAGAATGTTTGTGATAATATGTTTGAGTAAATACGTGTGTGTGTGAAATAGTATGTTTGTGAAAATATGTTTGAGTTAATACGTGTGTGAAATAGTATGTTTATGATAATATATTTGAGTAAATACGTGTGTGTGTCATTGAAAAAGTATGTTTGTGATAACATATTTGAGTAAATACATTTTGTGTAAAATTGTATGTTTGTGATCATACTTTTAAGTGAAATAATATGTTTGTGATAATGTATTTGAGTTAATGTGTTTGTATGAAATAGTATGTAAGTGCTTATACGTTTGAGTGAAATAATAGGTTTGTGAGAAATAATAGGTTTGTGATAATACATTTGTGAGAAATAATATGTTTGTGAGATATAGTATGTTTGTGAGAAATAATATGTTTGTGAGCAATAATACGTTTGTTAGAAATAAGAGGTTTGTGTGAAATAGTATGTTTGTGATAATATGCTTGTGAGAAATAATAGGTATGTGATAATATGTTTGTGAGAAATAATATGTTTGTGAGAAATAATATGTGTGTGATATGTTTGTGAGAAATATGTTTGTGCGAAATAGTATGTTTGTGATAATACGTTTGTGTGAAATAGAATGTTTGTGATATGTTTGTGAGAAATAATATGTTTGTGATATGTTTGTGAGAAATAATATGTTTGTGATAGTATGTTTGTGAGAAAAAGTATGATCATTGTACTAGCTCAGAATGAAAAAAAAAATATTGATTGTCATTCAGCTGACATTGAAAATATATGAAATGTCTCCTTGTCATTTATAAGAATAAGAAAGTCTTTGCTTATCAGTAACAAGAGCAATTCATCACGAAAATCACTTCCAATCTTAACTTCTTGCTCCCTAGATATTTTCCAATAAATTGATGGAATTTTTAATGGAGAATATTTCATGTTATCTTTGCTACAATATTGACAAATTTGGCAATTCTTTGTGATTAGTGGGCATTGATTTTGTTACAGCTTATAGTGAGAGAGAGGTTTGCCAGCTTCTAGAAACGATGTTTTTCGTGGTTTTCATATATGTTTACAAGCAAGTCAGACATAATATAGATTATTCGTGTGGGAATGGGATACTTTTGAAAATGCATGCAACGGATTAAGTTTTTTTTCTTATATAGATTGCATGGAAATTGCTAGATCTTAAAAGCAGAATTACAGTATTTTGTGTGGCTAGGATATACTATCAGGATTATATGTATTGGGAAATACAATTTGATTTTATAGGAAAAATTCCTACTTTTATTGGTCTGTTATAAGGAAAGTGTTCCGCTGTAAAGGAAATAGTCTTATATTAATCGTATCATAAATTGTTCATGACAGTAGTTGTGTAGGTCTGTCAGTCAGTTTATAATGATGATACTAACATAATAAACTATTTGGAGAATTAAATGAGTGAGGAGGAAAGCGATTCAACTGTTAGTATAAGAGCTAGTACATCCACTGATAGTGTGATGAATCTGCTAGAATGGACTCAACAGAAGCTAGATTCTGGTATTGAGGTAGTGAAGGAGGTAGGAAATTGGCTTGATCTACATTTCCTGAGAGATAATGATGCACTTGATAAACAGGTACAGTTTTAGATTGGTTTGATTGATGAACCTGATATTTAGATTTAACCATTACCATGTTATATGTCTGAAATACTTTTGTTGAACTTTCGATCTGGACATCATTTTAAGAGAAAACTTAGAGATATGTACTGACTGAATAGTGAACAGTGCAGGCCATGATTAGAAGGCATATATGTGCCCGCCAGTTGATCTTGGTCACATGGGTAGAGTCTATGGCTGCCAGCAGGCTCTAAGGTTTAACTTTTCAATATTACAGTAACTGTTTTTCTCATTTGTACAGTTGTCTTAAAAAGATATCTGTCTGTACTGAAGATATTGTCAGTTGTAGATGATTAAATTTGCATTGCTGCAATGTTGAAATTAATTTAATTTTCGAAATTTTTACTTTTTGCAAAATTTTAATTTGTTCCAGACAGAACTGCATTACACAATTTAAGCTATATTGAATTTCCACATTGTGATTCAGCTTGTTTTTACAAAAATGGAGGTGTTTACATTGGTTGGTTAACTTGTCCAAATTTTAATTTTTGTTTCCTTTATCCTGCTGGAACCAGAAGTGAACCAGAACAGGCTGGCTCTAAGACTATGCTATAAATAGCTCATCTTTGCATTTGAATGGACTGATCCAAATTTGAAGCTTGGCAAGTCCCATTTCACATTTTGATTAAACTGCATGGAATGTAACAGACTCGAATATAAATCAAAATATGTGTTACTCTATCACTGACCATTCATCTAAATTTTATATACAAGATCATAACTTATGTTTATGCTGATATCAGACAGTGTTGCAGTTCTTCAACTTCAAGGTCAAGGTTAAACTTTGAGGTCATATTGATAAAATATGATTGTTTTTGAGGATTTGTTACATTATCATGTGTTGAGATGGTTATTGTTATGTTTTTAATATGATATTAACTTAATGAGAAATATATTTATTTTGTACATTTATAATTATATCTGTTAGCATGTGTATTTTACATTATATTTTTATTGCAATTATGCAGTATGTTAATGTTATGTTCATGTTGTGTTTTTTTTGCAAAACCTTTGCAAAGTGCATTGATAAAATTTTCAAATAAGACACATTTTTGTCAGTTTGATATATACCTTTTGAGAAATGATGTAGTTTTAAACTTGTTATGTACAACAGGGTACTTACTGCCTTATTCAAAGCATTTGTCATTTTTGAAACTAAATTTGCTTTTAAGCTGTTTAAGCCGTTTGTATCATCAGTCATAGATGAATCTTTGGCAACTTGTCAGTCATGTATTATCAATTATTCCTCTACACTTCTTCTATATATCCATTTAGCAGGCACAACATTTGGCCCAATAAAGGTGTCAAGTTTTATATATTATCTGACAGATTTACAGCATTAAATACATTGTAAGTATTCTCAAATGAGGCTAACATTACAAATCAGCTGCTAGGCGGAGTATTAAAACCATCATCTGTCAGATCTAGAAATCAGATTTGTTCTTGTAGAACTTTTTTCTATAAAATGGAGAAGGTTTAAAAGTGCTCGTTTCCAGAATCGAGGAAATAAATTTTCAAAACTTAAAGAGTCTTATAGTGAATTGGTCTTACAATGGAAGATCTGTTATACCAGAAATAATTATGTTGATAGTATCTACTATCATACGAGAAAACAAACCATGAAAGACTTACTATATGGATGTTTTGTTAAGTAAGTGTTAGATACATGATCTAATATGACATATCAATATATACATGTAGCGGGTGATAAAGTGTTCTGAAACAAAATATTATTATTAAGTATATAAATGTTCATACCTAATCACTTTAGAACTCTGTCAATATTTTGCTTTCCAGAAATATTTCATAATAATATCCAAATGATACATTTCTATTGTTTTTATCAATATACTGTATACTTATGAAAAATTTCCGCATTGTAGACTAATCCATTTTAATTTATCAGAAGTTTGGTTAGTCCAATATTTAAGACGTTACAGGCTTGTTATAGTTTATGATTGTCAAGCCAAGTAAAAATATCTCACAGCAACATCATATTTAACATTTAGGACTAGAGTTTGTTAAAGTAAACCAAGGAGAGAAGGAAAAATAGTCTTGCCAATGGATTTGGGTGCTGCCGCAAAAGCTCAAACAGGGTCAATGTATATGTAGTCAGGGGCTTCTGGAAAACTACGCATTAATATATAAATAAATTGTAACAGTACAACTTGTTTGCCATTTAGATATACTAAATGTATGATCTTGAAGTTGTGCCATCTCCATTGACTCAACTACCATGATTGTGGAGTTGTGCTTTACCTGCCTTCATTATAATCAACACGAAGGATGGCAGAGTTTAACTGCCTGGAGTCATTATATCATTAGTTTTTCTCTCTTCACTGTTTATTCATCCGAAAGTTATTATGAATATATTAAGGGCAGATTTTTTCATGCAGAAACTTGCCTCACTGGTATAATTAATATGTGCCTTATATAAGCCTAAATATAGAAAAAAAATTAATTGGAAGCATCATAAAATTTGCTTTTTGCCAGAGGCTAGGTCAACACAGCTAGGATTCTGATATGAAGAAATACTGTATAGTCTGCTTATAACAATATTCAGGGGACCGCCAAATTTATATTGTTACATCAGGATATTGTTATATCCAAGAGGCAACCAATTTGAAAACGAGTTGGGACTGTGTGTAACAGCATCATTATAAGGGGTATATTGTTATAAGGGATATCTTTATCTTTATTCTATATTGCTGCTGTTGCACAAACAGTTCAGATTTGTCAAAAAATGCTTATTTAAAATCTTATCCTGTAATCTGCAGGGTGCCATTTTCAGAGATTACTATGAGATTATGATATAAAATGATGGGAGGAATTACATTCTGGTTAATACAGTATATGGCTCCCTATGCTGTCTTATTATATTTTCACCGTGTAATAACCAGAATAATTGACAAGGCTAGTTTTTGCCAATAGCGTTATATTGGTTGACTTGAGGCTGTATAATTATACATAATGCATGGTTTAATTGTTATGTTTTAATGGTATAGCAAAGTATTTATTTTCACGGGATAAATCATTAATCAATGAATTCATGCATAATATATCCCAACTATACTGTATAAGTAATCAGACTGAATCATTGTTAGTTGTGGCAGCAATAAAAACTAGAAGATGAAACAGCTATTGGATTCTAGTAAATAACATTCTTATCACGATACCGACAGGAAGTAGTAATACCGAAGTATTAGTTTTTGTTATGTTTCTGATAGATTTTGACATTCCCTCCTTTCCGTACATTGATCTACTGTGAATAATAATGAAACTAGTTTATTCCTTAAGGAAAGGCACCATTTACTGCTACATTACTCTCTATGGATTTTTTCATGCCTCAGTTATCTTTGTAACAAAGTAACCACAGTATTAAGTCTTGTACAGGCAGTGAGTGGTTTTATGTGCTGAATGTTGTACAGTCCTACTGTATGTCAGCCAATGGAATACTTTACATTCAGATGTGAACAGGCTCCAGTCACAGACCACCTCAACCCCCTATGCTTTAACCCCAACAATCACCTCAGGATTAACTAGATAAGCATTTTAGCATTTCTATGTCCTTTGTGTAATGTTGAGACAGAGGGCTTGATCGACTGACCTTTAAACTTGACCTTTATCATCAAGTTAAAATATTTAAAATTTCGTAAGTTCAATATTTTTAGTTCATGTTACAAAATAAAAAGTGTTAACTTTGTTGTTTTGGGATTTTTTGATTGTATATCTTAATTTTATATTAACAATAATTGAAGTATTAATCTAATAAACTTAATTATGGTTGTAATAAAAACTACCACACACGTTTGATAAAGTAAAAATATGAATTGTGTTAACAGATTTTGAGAGTTTTGGTGAGGGACATTATTATTTTGTATGTTTTGACCAAATCATCTGGTAAAATTGTCCTTCATATTTTAAAGTCATCATGATAAATAGAAAGTGTTGTTAATGTGTGGACAACTTGCGAGAAAAATGAAATACAGATGTATTGCTGCGGTCAAAAAGACCCTAATTGTGATTATTTGTCCTGGGTGCAAGAGTTTACTGCAAGTTTAACTTAGTTATGATTTTATTATAATGTTTCTGTGTAACATGACTTTTATATAACTTGATGTCGCATCAATTCCTTTTTTCACTATAAATAGAATTGTTTAGCAATAAGACATGTGAAATCAATTTATTATGTTCATGGAAGTCACGCTTGCTGATTCATCAATATGTTATCTCGGTGTGTGGCTAACTTATGAGCAAAAAACCTAACGTTTTACAAGGATCCGTAATATCTACTCAGCTCATGAAATACTTGTTTTTATTTCACATTTAGCTTTATTTCGATTTCAGAGAAACCATATTGTTTGAAAGTGTTTTATTAAATTAGTCTTAAAGTGTTCAAAGATGTACAATTGTTATAATTATACCCCCACCAAACATAGTTGGGTGGGACGGGGTGGGAGGCCTTAGTTAGTATTAGGAATTACAGTGTCCCATCCCATCCCATTTTGGAAACCGGTAGTGATATTAACTTGAAACTTCACTATAACCATCTATGAGTGGACCTTGTTCTTTGATGCAACATTGTTGATAAATTGTTAATGCATGCACACAATACCAAGGATAAAAATCTGTCCAGGTCTTGAAGGTTATAAAAAATCGAATTCTTCTATCTAGGAACAATCTCTCTTATTATTAAACAGCCTGTTTTTACTCTCAGATTTCCGAGCAAAATAACAAACCAAAAAGTGCTTATGGCCATTTGCAATTTATATGAGAATATTGTAATTTAATTATTTTATTTTCATGTGTTTCAGGTTGACAATGTTAAGCTTTTGGACAGATTCAGTGCCAGAAACACAGCCATAGGAACATTGTACCTGACAACTACACACCTGATATTTGTTGACAGTGCTGGAAAGAAAGAAATATGGGTAAGAATTATAAATTGATAATATAAAATATGGCAAAATTGTCTGTATTGCCCAGAATGTCCCATAGCCTGTATGGACAAGTGGAAATTTTCAAGAATATACTATAAAATATGTAAATATAATACGCACAAAAACATGCCTCAAAAATAGCAAAAAAACCTGAGCACAAAGGTGAGCTTTTGTGAAAGTAAGAGGTTTGTCATCAATGTCTGTAGTTTGGCATAATCCATGATTTCTTAGTTATGATTTTATTATAATGTTTCTGTGTAACATAAGTGACTTTTATATAACTTGATGTCGCATCAATTCCTTTTTTCACTATAAATAGAATTGTTTAGCAATAAGACATGGTGAAATCAATTTTATTATGTTCATGGAAGTCACGCTTGCTGATTCATTCAATATGTTATCTCGGTGTGAGGCTAATTTATGAGCAAAAAAACGTAACGTTTTACAAGAATCCGTAATATCTACTCAGGCTCATGAAATACTTTTTTTTTATTTCACATTTAGCTTTATTTCGATTTCAGAGAAACCATATTGTTTGAAAGTGTTTTATTAAATTAGTCTTAAAGTGTTCAAAAGATGTACAATGGTTATAATTATACCCCCACCAAACATAGTTGGGTGGGACGGGGTGGGAGGCCTTAGTTAGTATTAGGAATTACAGTGTCCCATCCCATCCCATTTTGGAAACCGGTAGTGATATTAACTTGAAACTTCACTATAACCATCTATGAGTGGACCTTGTTCTTTGATGCAACATTGTTGATAAATTGTTAATGCATGCACACAATACCAAGGATAAAAATCTGTCCAGGTCTTGAAGGTTATAAAAAATCGAATTCTTCTATCTAGGAACAATCTCTCTTATTATTAAACAGCCTGTTTTTTACTCTCAGATTTCCGAGCAAAATAACAAACCAAAAAGTGCTAATGGCCATTTGCAAAATTATATGAGAATATTGTAATTTAATTATTTTATTTTCATGTGTTTCAGGTTGACAATGTTAAGCTTTTGGACAGATTCAGTGCCAGAAACACAGCCATAGGAACATTGTACCTGACAACTACACACCTGATATTTGTTGACAGTGCTGGAAAGAAAGAAATATGGGTAAGAATTATAAATTGATAATATAAAATGTAATATGCAGGGGTGGCAAAATCAATTGTCCATATTGCACAGGTTGTCCGATAGTCTGTATGGACAAGTGGAAATTTTCAAGAATTTACTGCTAGTATATATTTTATAATTGTCTTACAGACAAAACTTCACAGGAATGATCTTTGGGCAGCCCTCTTCAAAGTTATATAAAATTATAAATAGTTCAAGCTGATCACAATAGCTTAAAAAGTAAAATCTCCTCAGTGGGTACAATACCCAGAGCTTAGATATTAAGTATGTGACACATTGTGGTCCCCTACAAAAAAATATTTTAATTGTATCGACCCAGAGGCAAAATTGATCCAGCCCATATTATATCACTAGCTTTAGAGATTCAAGTTTTAAAAATACATTCACTGTATCTATATCTTCTTGTGTGAAATTTCATGGTCTAGAGTTTAAATGTGTTGCATTATTTGCAAATGTTGCATTGCTATAGTGAACTTCTCTAGAATAATTGCCCTTTGGTAAAAAAAAGCCCAGCCCAAGGGTAAACCAATGACAATCAATGGCCACCATAGCCCTCTTGTTGTGTTCAACATCAACATCAGTTGTGAAAAGTATTCTATTTTCCAAATCCTGTGCAAATTTTTAAATAATATAACATAGTCCTTTGGTGTGAATCTATAACATTTGATTCAGTCATTTTTAATATGTAATAAAGATTATTGGAAAGATTCTAACATATTTATACCTAGAAATATATAAGATTTCACTTAACTTGAGTTATTTATAGATTGTTATAGGGGAATTTTATTTTTATGAATACAATCTTGTTAATTGGATTGTCAAAGATTTGCTTCCAGTTATTTCATTCCGAGATAATTTTACCGGAGATAATTTTACAGACTAAATTTTTTATGACTATCATCAAGCATTGATCATTGTCATCCACCCACAGTCATTGCCGCCATGGGCATAATCCCAGTCTGGCTAGAATATCTCTGATTATACTAAACCATAGACCAAGGCAGATCCATTGTGAACGTTTTATTGTCACAGTGGGTTTTAGTGTACATGTAGGTACATGTATGTAAAACTGTATTACTTTTGCTATAAATAACTTAAGGTGAACATTTTGTAAGGCATAAGAGCTTTTATTGAACTGGAAGAAAAACCATAATTAATGTAGTTTCCTTTTTTAAGAAACCTCAAACTGTTCAAATGAAAACTGTTCTTATCTTAATAACGGAAGAAAGTGAAGACTTCAGCAGCTAATCTAAACAATTGATTGGTGCCTTAGTCAAGAGAAAAATAACACTGAAGCTAAAAAAATAGTCTATAGTCAATTATAGGAAAGCAGTTTGATAGCTACTACTTAGATACTAGAATGACAGGACCAAATACTGCCTTTATGTAGCTGATGATCCTATCTGTAAATTATAGGAATGTAGAATAAAACATGAAAATGATCTCCTATTAATTTGTATACAGTTATTATGTTTTTAATTATAGATAGTCAAGTATATAGATTTTTAGTGCCAGGTGATTGTAAGTTAAAGATAACATAGAATTAGTAGACAACAGAGTGAAATTGATATTATGTAGGTAGATTAGATTAGTAGAATGACTGTGAAGGTAATATTGTGTCAGTAGATAAGAGAGTGAAGGAAATATTGTGTCAGTAAATTAGAGAGAGTGAAGGTAATATTGTTTCAGTAGATCAGAGAGTGAAGGTAATATTTTGTCATTAGATTAAAGAGTTAATGTGACATTGTGTTAGTAGATAAAAGAGTGAAGGTAATATTGTGTCTGAAGATAAGAGAGTGAAGGTAATATTGTGTCTGTAGATAAGAGAGTGAAAGTGACATTGTGTTAGTAGATTAAAGAGTTAATGTGACATTGTGTCAATAGATTAGAGAGTGAAGGTAATATTGTGTCAATAGATAAGAGAGTGAAGGAAATATTGTGTCAGTAAATTAGAGGGTGAAAGTAATATTGTGTCAATAGATCAGAGAGTGAAGGTTATATTGTGTCAATAGATAAGAGAGTGAAGGAAATATTGTGTCAGTAGATTAGAGGGTGAAAGTAATATTGTGTCAATAGATCAGAGAGTGAAGGTGACATAGTGTCAGTAGATAAGAGAGTGAAGGAAATATTGTGTCAGTAAATTAGAGGGTAAAAGTAATATTGTGTCAATAGATTAGAGAGTGAAGGTAATATTGTGTCATTAGATTAAAGAGTTAATGTGACATTGTGTTAGTAGATAAAAGAGTGAAGGTAATATTGTGTCTGAAGATAAGAGAGTGAAGGTAATATTGTGTCTGTAGATAAGAGAGTGAAAGTGACATTGTGTTAGTAGATTAAAGAGTTAATGTGACATTGTGTCAATAGATTAGAGAGTGAAGGTAATATTGTGTCAGTAGATTAGAGAGTGAAGGTGATATTGTGTCAGTAGATTAGAGAGTGAATGTGATATTGTGTCAGTAGATTAGAGAGTGAAAGTGACATTGTGTTAGTAGATTAAAGAGTTAATGTGACATTGTGTCAGTAGATTAGAGAGTGAAGGTAACATTGTGTCAGTAGATTAGAGAGTGAAGGTGATATTGTGTCAGTAGATTAGAGAGTGAAGGTGACATTATGTCAGTAGATTAGAGAGTGAAGGTGACATTGTGTCAGTAGATAGAGAGTGAAGGTGAGTCAGTAGAAGGAGTGAAGGTGATATTGTCAGTAGATTAGAGAGTGAAGGTGATTTTTATGTCAGTAGATTAAAGGGTGAAGGTGACATTGTTGTGAAGTTGATATTTGTCAGTAAAGTACAGAATGAATGCTTCATATATTGGCAGAATGAAAGTGAAGTTATATTGTATGTAATAGATGGTAAATAGATATTTTGTTGACCAAGTATAGTCTTAAATGGACTTTCATAATCTAGCTGCCACACATGATAGAATATTTAAACATGATTTTCAGTAAAACGGCATATGTTTGATACACAATACTTTATTGTTCTTCTTGCTTGCATTTAGAAGACTGTAGGTCTGCCTAATGTAAATGTTAAATCTTGTTATTTTGCCCAGAAATTCAATTTTGCTTTATGGAAAATAAATGATTACTAGAGATGAATTCCTGCCAAAACTAGAAGATGATTGTCTTAAAGTCAGCAGAACATCTTATCTCTCTGTAGAGTGAGTCACTAATCTTAACCTATACTGACAGGCTAATATAAGGGATATATTTACGTTATATGCCATTATATGAGGTTATATACGTCTATTATAGGGATGTAAATGTAATGGTGCACATGCCCCCCTATCCTGAGGAGATGAAATGTTTGAATGGAAATGATATAAAACATGCTATATTGATTACTGGGATTCTAAAAGTGGAATGATACATCAGAGATTGGGTTTATATGTATATTTTATGGGTTAACATGGATTACATTTACAGAAATGACTTTGATTATCTCCATTATCATGCAATAGTATTGAATGAAAATCAAAATAATTTGGAGGATAGGTTCCCAGCTTAGTGATGTATAGTTTTGAGGTGAATTCTCTAAGGTCTCTTTGACTGCAAGACTGATTAAATACGTTCCGACAGTTTCTTGTAAATAAAAGAATTGAGGCATGTTTTCTATTTGCACGATTATTTTTTCTTTCTTGGTGGGGCGGCAGGCAATGTTTTATGGTATTGTGCTGCCAATCTGTCTATAGACAATAATGTTTCCTTCAAACATCTTTTGCAAGCTTTTATTGATTAAGTTTGTGTTTGGTATGCCAGTGTATATTATCAAAGTACAGGTCATGTTGGAATTTACTATTTAAATACAATCCTTAAGTGAATTCATTAATAAATTATATTTTTTCTTTGTACCTTTCCTTAATTGGTTAAGTGCTTTTCACATGGTAGTTTCATGGCAATTAAACTACTTAATTAATTGGAATGATCTATAATGTGCTATTACATGTATATAGTATGCCATTACAACATGTATATAGTATCCCTTTACATATACATGTACATGTATATAGTATCAATACAATGATCAGTTTGTTTTCTTTGGTCACAATTCACTACTTTTGCTCGATAAAGTTATATGATGTTAAACAGCACATTATATGTGAAATCAGATTCAGCGAAATTGCTTTTAGGAAGAACTTCAATAATTGAAATATTACTTGCCTACAGGCAAGCATTTTCCCCCACATCAATAGATTGTGGATTTCTTAACAAGTATTGACAGATTTGGTTGTAGATAGTTCTGTCTTATGTCATTCCGCTTCAACTGATGTTTTAGAACACAAATATAGAGAAGATTGCTGTTACTTTTGGTAAAACAGGATAGTATTTGTACAGAAAACAGGATATCTTGTAGAATACTCCTGGCCTATACTATACTTCATTACTGTTACACTTGTGTTAAAGGAGCTCCATTGAGTTCAAAAAGCCTACAGAACATGAAATTTGAATTCTAAAAGTGGATCAAAGGAAGCACTAAATGAAAAAAAAAATGAAAAAGAAATAAAGAAATGTTTGGGTCATTTTACACAATAAAATGATGATTCTGGAAAAACGGGGAGAGGATCTTAAAATTTGCACAAAAGTTATTGCTCCAGACCTACCTTAAATAGTACTAAAATCTCAGAAATTTTTTTTCCCAGTTCCTTCATGTCAAAAAAACCTCAGTGGAGTTCCTTTAATCCAAACATACAAACTGGACTCTTTAAGTAATGATCAATTTAATCAACTTAGCTTCATTTCTCCCCCTTACTGCATAACTTTCATTCAATACCAAGGTCATAACATAATTTATAAAGCCTGAAGTTAATGAAATGTCAGTGATGTCACCTCAGATATTTATTTTAAAAAGAAATGAATGGAAATAATCTTTCCGGATTAATGTACCATTTGATGTAAGTAACTTGTGTGCAAAATTTCAGATCATTCAGAATAATTATTTCAATTGTAAAAAAAAACAAACCCTAAATTGAAAACCGTTGCAATGCATTTCATTCAGATTAGAATATGAATAGCACACAACAGTATGATTTTCAGTTTATTTCTGAGTATATTTCTTAATTATCTTTTGCACATCTTTCTGTTTTAAGCACATATTGATCAATATAAAAAATTTAATTGTTTATATGTGTTAAGGATTTTTGGCCTCAGTTCCTTTAAATTCGAGTAGTTTCCCCTGATATACAAGCTCAGTCTAATATTTTAGTAGGAAATTTTTTTTTGTTATTTCAGATTTTACACATGCACCTATCAAATATAGACAAGCTTCCAATAACTACAGGTGGATCTCCAATACAGCTGCATTGTAAAAACTTTATGTGTATAACGTTTGTCATACCAAAGGAAAGAGACTGCCATGATATATATACATCACTGTTAGAGTTATCTAAACCAGGTATGATTATGTACTTCAAACTTATTTAAGTTATCAAATCAGATGTTATTTTTGTCTAAGACTAAGTCAAATTATTACAGTCAAACTTTCAGTCTTTACTGCTATTTTGATGGAAGGTCAGGAGACCCAAGGTGTAAATCTTAGCAGTAGTTTTAGTCTGAGAACAGGCACTTTAATTATAAGCAAACACTCTATAGGTGACAGAAAAAAACATCCACATATACAGTTTGTTTTATCTGGAATCTAAACTTGTACATGTGATGGCCAAATATTTCAAAGACAACAATGTAATCCCTCGGAGGCCCTGCAACAGAATGGGGAAATAAGAAGATAGCTCTTAATTATTTTCTTTACGGCTGATATAATTGCTGTTTGCCTCATCTGTGAAAGAAATTGACTGTAGAATGATTGAAAGTAAATACCAAGTTGTGAATAAGGTTTATCATTTACATTTTGACATAGGAATAGTATAAGAGAGAGTTGACTTGGTTTAGTCTCCGTATTTTATTCTTGTTTCAGGTTAAGTAGTGATATACTATTTACTAATATTTTTACAGGTAATATAGAGTCCCTGTATGCATTTTCGTACCAACAAAATTGTGATTATACAAAAGATTATGGATGGGACTTGTTTGACACACAGTCTGAATACATGCGTATGGGAGTACCCAACGAGAACTGGGTTATGTCAAACATTAACAAAGAATATGAGGTGAGTGATAAGAAGTAGTTGGCCTTTTGGCTATTTAAACATGGGTTGTTGGTTTAAGCTTTATTGAAGCCACAACCATGTTTTCTTTTATATTGTTGGTATTTCTTTTTATTAGCTTGACTTTTCAAGGAATAGGGAGAGTGATTGCACTCACCCTGGCATTGGTGTCACATTTTGGTTAAGTTTTTGAATGCAGGTTGGTATCTAAAAAGAACTTAAGGGGGTGTGCTGAAACTTCACACATATATTTGAGAGCATAATAGGAGGTTACTGTCAAAGGCCAATAACTCTAACATTGTTTTGACAGAATTATCACCCTTTTAGAAAATTCTACATTATCCAGGCTCTTGTCTTACTATCAAGCACTGAAAATAGTCAAGCACACTGTCCTACCAACAGTTCTTGTTATACCAGTACTGGTTTGTTGGTTAGTTCAAGTCCAGGAAACAGATTTGAAGAGTTGTTAAAAAATAAAAACTTCAAGCTTTAATCCCACCTTAGCCATAATAGTGTTATCTAAACGAAAGTGCTTTTAAGATATTTTTAAGTTGCAGATCATTATTATGGAGGCCCACTTAAATGATAAAAGTCAAGTATTCCCCACAGGTATCTTCTGTTAACAGTGAGAACAATTAGCAAAATATCAAAGTGATTTAATCAGCATAGAATATTGATCTAACATAGTGGAATTATACATAAAGTCATTGTTTATCATACAGATTGGCTATATTTCTATCATCGTGCTTTATATGCATCAAATACTTAACATACAGACAGTCCTCAGTTAAAAGAGATTTATGTATTTTTAGCTCTACAACTGTAAATTCACGTAATTTCGTGGGCACGAAATTTCGTGTTTTTCTTTTGGTTTTACATAGGTTCATCAATTTATGGACAGTCTGGTTCTCCAAAAGGTTAAATGTAAATATTAATGTAATGCAAAAGAGTCTTACTCAGCAGAAGAAATGAAATTTTATATTTGTGGATTAATTAAAATAACAAAGAGCCATGACTCCATGTATCTTGTTAACTTACTAGACAAAAAGTTTTTGAAGATATCAGAACAACTCTTCTAAAAAGAAATAGGAAGTTAAATCTTTTTACTGAGCTTTTGGTTTTTTGTTTTGATTTTTTGAATGGGCTTTTGTCCACCCATTTAGGGCTTTGATTATGTTGCAACTTTCATTAAGGGTTTTTTCTGTAATTTTTAGATCTGTGATACCTACCCCCGATATTTATTTGTTCCTAGTAGAGCTGCTACACAAGTTCTGATAGGAAGTTCAAAGTTCCGCAGTAGAGGTCGGCTACCAGTACTTTCTTATTTTCACATCAAAAACCAGGTAAAGTGGAATTGTTTGTTAGATCTACCCTAAGTATTATTTGATATGTTTTCCAATAGTCCCACAGCCTCAATATCTATTCACTGAAGTGAAAACCATTTATCATTTAGAGGAATTTTATGGCAATTTCTTTAGTGTCTGTCACAGGAAAACTTTGTCATTCTTTTTTTATGGCTATTTTTATTATGCCCCCACAATGTGGGAGCATATAGCGTTGCACTTGTCCGTCCGTCCGTCAGTCCGTCCGTCAGTCCGTCCGTCAGTCCGTCCGTACGTCCCGAAATCTTGTGAACGCAACTCCTCTTAAACCGGATGGCAGATTTTGCTTAAACTTACAGGGATGAACAACCTTAATGTGTAGATGGTAGTAAAGGAAGGAATTTTCGCTGCGACCAAATTTAACAGAATTATGGCCCTTTGTTGATTTTTTCACTAGATACTATGTAGAAATTTTGTGAACGCAACTCCTCTTAAACCGGATGGCAGATTTTGCTTTAAACTTACAGGGATGAACAACCTTAATGTGTAGATGGTAGTAAAGGAAGGAATTTTTGCTGCGCGACCAAATTTAACAGAATTATGGCCCTTTGTTGATTTTTTCACTATATACTATGTAGAAATTTTGTGAACGCAACTCCTCTTAAACTGCATGGCAGATTTTGCTTAAACTTACAGGGATGAACAACCTTAATGTGTAGATGGTAGTAAAGGAAGGAATTTTTGCTGCGACCAAATTTAACAGAATTATGGCCCTTTGTTGATTTTTTCACTATATACTATGTAGAAATTTTGTGAATGTTGATTTTTTCACTATATACTATGTAGAAATTTTGTGAACGCAACTCCTCTTAAACCCCATGGCAGATTTTGCTTAAACTTACAGGGATGAACAACCTTAAGGTGAAGATGGTAGTAAAGGAAGGAATTTTCGCTGCGACCAAATTTTACAGAATTATGGCCCTTTGTTGATTTTTTCACTATATACTATATAGAAATTTTGTGAATGCAACTCCTCTTAAACCGGATGGCAGATTTTGCTTAAACTTCCAAGGATGAACAACCTTTATGTGTAGATGGCAGTAAAAGAAGGAATTTTCGCTGCGACCAAATTTAACAGAATTATGGCCCTTTGTTGATTTTTAGTTTTCAACTTGAGGCACATGTAGTCCAAAAAATATTTGACCTAGAGTCATAAGATTGACAGAACAGTGGCGTGTGGAGGCATCCGTGTCCTATGGACACATTTCTAGTTGATAATGAAAATGGTTGTGTGCATACTCTGGTTTACAATTTATTAACAGTACATTATGTAACAGACAATTGGATACACTATTTACTTACAGTACGCACATTTGAGTCATGTTTAGAATATTAAAAGGATAATTGAATATTTTGAATACGGTTTTACCCTTTAATGCATCTAAGTGGTTGCATTAAAATGATTTTCAATTCTGTCAAGTTCAATCAGCCCTAAAGGGAGAACATTAGGGTCAAGTGAGTCTGAGTTCTGGGCTCATGTTTATCTGTGACAAATTTGGTTGAAACAATGTCTCATGCCATCCATCGTCTACTGCTATTTTAAGTTATGTAATTTGGGAAGATAAATATTTACTTGTGAAGTTAGTATTAGTACACAAACCAGTGACACTCCTGTCTGTGACTGTAATACTGTTAAACTCAGGTGTTCAGCAAAACAAAACAATACTTAAGAATAGTGTATTTGAATACCCAGTTGTCTAACATTAATAAAACATTTTGTTGTTTGCTTTCAATTTTAAGATGTTATATTTATTTTTAACTTCAGCTTGTAATGCAGGGATATATGATGGAATAATAATTCATGTTTTGTAGGCTGCAATATGTCGCTGTAGTCAACCACTGGCAGGATTCAGCGCTAGGTGTGTAGAAGATGAACAAATGTTACATGCAATACTCAAAGCTAACCCAGACAGTGGATACATGTATGTCGTAGATACAAGACCAAAGGTAACTAGAGAAGATGTATTTTTAGCTCATATGAGCACTTGGTATATAGATGACTTACATGAACACTACTGTAATAAAGTGTTTAGGTCACTTGGGCACTTGGTATATAGGAATCTTGCATGAACGTCTACCCTTATAAGGTGTTTAGGTCATTTGGACAGAATTCACATTAATGCTAGAAAAGATATCTTTCAGATTCTCCATATCTTAGTCAAATGTTGACAGTTATACCTATCTTTTACAACTTTAATTATACTTAATGTGAGACTTAATGTGAGACTTAATGTGAGATTTAATGTGAGACTTGAGGCAGGGGTTTAACAACATGCTGTCTGATCTGAACTAGATAGGGAGTTAATTAGGATATGATCTTGGTTTTAAAAGTATGAAATGTAAGTTCTTAATTGTGAATTGTTTGGGAGCCTAACATTAAGAGATGATATTGAGGCCTATTTTATTTTACAGATAAATGCGATGGCAAATCGTGCTGCAGGTAAGGGTTACGAGAACGAGGCTTTCTACTCGGATATGAAGTTTCAGTTCTGTGGTATAGAAAATATACATGTGATGAGAGGTAGTCTACAAAAATTAACTGAAGGTAAACATTTATTATGTCAAAAATATATTGTTTCAACAATTATTGTGTGAACATGTCACAAGGAATTCTGCTATCTATATCTTTACATTTATGAAGGGCTCAATGACCAAGTGATTATGGTTGGTGACTCTATATTACTTGTATATTTAAATCCTGATCAAGGCAATATGTTTAAATCCTGATAGGGATTTGAATATTTTTATGTTAGGAAGCTATTCGGCTGGCATATAGAAGGTCAGGGGTTCTACTCAAGTGCCCACTTAAGCAAGAAATCAAATATACAAAGGACACCCGAGGTCTTCCTCCGCCAGTAAAACTAGAGTATTGCCAATTGACTTTTACAGTATTGTGGGTATTAATATTTGTGTCTGTATTAGAAGGAATTAATAAAGTTTTGATTTTGTCTATATGTCTGTCCCCATCTTTATGCTCCCTATATTGATAGATAGGCAGGCATGTTTTTCATCTTGTCTATCTGTTGTTTTTGTATTTTTTGTGAGACACTTGAGAGGTTTATTTTGATGTATTGAAATAAGACTGAATTATAAATGAGATAATATCAAGATCAAAATGTTAGGAAATTTTCCATGACATTATTAATTAACTGATACAGTCTAGGGGCAATTGTGTCTAAGAAACACATTTTGTATTTTTCAGTTTGTGAGTTGAAGAATCCGTCTATGAGTGCTTTCATTTCTGGTTTGGAGACAAGTGGCTGGTTGAAACATATACAAGCCATACTGGAAACATCTGTATTTATATCAAAGGTAAAATGTTTAATGTATGTCAAGTATTCTTTGAATTATGTCAAAAATACTGATTCAGAAATTGGCTAGTAAACATAATAAACATCAATTCATCACACTATAAACAACCAGTTTTGTAATAAACAATTAGTAATATAGTTAAAAACTTTTGATTTTTTACCACTTCATACTTATGTTATGATGAATACTCTTAAAATGGATTCTTTTCATTGATTATTTGATTTTGTGATGAATATTTTCTTTTTGATTTTTATTTGTCAAAGGAAAGGATTCTGTTTTCCCTCTTTTTGAGCTATAATTTGAAAGTTTATCACTAAACAAGTGCATTTCATTACTTCTATTTACTCTTATAATTTTTTTTAACTCTACATCTATCTATAAAGTCTGACCAGAATCTATATTGCCAACTGCTTTATTAACATTTTTTTGTCATTAACCCCTAAAATTGAGAATGAACCATTCCAGCTTCAAATATCACCAACTTTCCATTGTAAGAATTATGTAAATGAAGTTAATCAAGGAAAAAAACATAGTTTCTTCAATTATCTCTCGGACTCTTCAAGGAGAAATAAGATAAATGTTTGTTATATTTTATATTATCCAGGCTGTGTTAGATGGTATAAGTGTGTTGGTACATTGTTCAGATGGCTGGGACCGTACAGCACAGACTTGTAGTTTGTCATCATTAATGCTAGATCCGTATTACAGAACTATATCAGGATTTATGGTAAGATTTAAGCATTATATATAGAAGAGGCTTGAACAGCTGTGAGAGTCTTATAGTTGTCAGAACTGTAGTGAATGATGTATGCATCAAATTCACTGTATATAATATGCATTTGTTGTTTTAAACATATTTATTTAAGCTCGATTGCAAAACAAGTTCTTGCAGCTTATATTAATCACTTTTGAGTCCGCTTCTAGAACCAACTGGTACTGGTGTAATATGAGGAAACATGGTTGTGACCTGATTTGGGCTCAAACTTATGATCCCTGGGTTGAGGGGCAGATACCTTAACCACTAGACCACTGCTCCCCTTAAATATACATATACATTTATTATATCCAATAATTCTACAATTATGAAACCCCATTCCCTGAGAGATTGATATATTGACTATCAAAAACATTTCCAACCATGACTTGTGATAGAGTGAAAGTGACAAGTCAGGTGACCATGACTGATGTTTTGAAAGTATTATAAGGGTAAACAACTGCTTTGATCTTTTTGACAAATTATTCTTTGATTAACTCCCTTGTAAACAGATAGAAGTGATAAGTATTAACAGATAGAAGTGATAAGTAAATGAAATCCTCATTGGTTTATTTTTCTCTTTCAATTAGAAAAAAGAAATTCTGTGAGACAAGTATTATGATTACTTTTTCTTTATTCATTGCTGTATTTCACTTTTTGTTAATATACTTTCAGGCATTAATAGAAAAGGAATGGCTAGCATTTGGGCACAAATTTACAGATCGTTGTGGGTTTCTTAGTTCCGTGGATAGTAAAGAAACATCTCCAGTATTTACACAATTCCTCGAGTGTGTGTGGCAAATGATGCAGCAATTTCCCTGTGCATTCCAGTTCAATGATCGATTTTTGATCACGCTGCACGATCACGTGTATTCGTGTCAGTTTGGTACGTTCATTGGGAACTGTGAGAAGGACCGTGTAGATTTAAAGTAGGTAACAATTTACCGTGATGAAGGTGTATATATTACTGAAATGTATAAGATGAATATAATAATTATGAGGAAATGTGCCCCAGTAAGGTTATATGATATACTAGGAGAAATCCATTAATTAAAGGTTAATATATGACAAAGTCAGGCCAGACGGTAATGATGGGTCTGCTTAGTAAATAATGACTTGAGAGAGCTTTAATCAGAGGGACTTTTTTTATTCAAGGCCAATTGTCATTCTTCAGCTAGACCCTGATGCATATTATTATCTTCAATATGTTTTTGATTCATTTTCCATGAGAATTACATATTTTAAAGATTATCATTCTATATAAGTTTTGGCCCAGGGTATCAAACTCATAATAGATAACATGATGCCATAAACAGCTTGAAAATTAGAGGCAACGGAGTTAGTATTTATAGTAAAGATTATTGTATTGATAAAGTTATACTAGATAAACTTACTCACTTTAAAAAGATTACAAAAGTTTGGTACTGTTTCTTTATGCCGCCACTAATTTTGGATCCATCTTAAGACCGTCAAAACGGGGAAACGTGAGGGCATCCATCTTCACATTTTTAGCTGTGTAAATGATGTAACTTTTGCTTGCTGATTTGCTGATGAGAAATTGGACATTTTGTGATTTTTAGTGACTGATATAAATGTTTATTATATACTTTTAAATGAAATATTGAGAAATATTGATGAAATAAAATGCGTATTTTCATTTTCCGTATTTTCACTGTAAAAATTTATTTTTCACTGCAGTGAAACATATTTTCCGTATTTTCACTGGTGTCTTGCCGGACTACTTTCTTTTAAATTCTGCCAGTACTCAAAATTTAAGGGAAAGTCTTGCAAATTTTAATGTCCTGAAAGAGAAAAATGTATATAATAAACAGAAAATTCAAGTTTTTTCTATAAATACATGATTTATTTTCATCTTGTGGCATGAAAATTACCATATTTCACTCGTGGCTACCGCCACTCATGAAATATTTATATTCATACCACTCAATGAAAATAAATCATGTATTTATAGAAAAAACTTGAATATCCTCTATATATTGATAATATATATATTATTTTAGGTTGTCAGATCGTACATTTTCACTATGGGGCTTCCTTAGTAAACACAAGATGGAGTATCTAAATCCACTCTTCAAAAAGGAGTATGAAGTCATGCAACCTGTTCTCATTCCAAAAACTTACCCACAATGCATCAAGTAAGATATTCATTCATTAGTTGTTCTAGTTTACCTTGAGTGTTACATGACACAAGTTAAAAATCTTGCTGAGTTTATGTGAATAAGAGTAAATACAACGGAGAAGTTTAAATATTCTGGAAAAATGTCAAACATGTATGTAATGGATGAAAACTGTTTTGTCAATAAATATCAGAAAGTTATTTTTTTACATTAGCATCCCTATAGATTATTGGAGCGTTCTTATTATTAAACATTTATATGAATGAAGTTGAAAAAAATTCCCACCGCAAAAGGAAGATGTCATGTATAAATTTTGACTTTTTATCATGCTTTGTCTTAAGAGACCGTTTAATTAAGCGACCATTTTGGGTTTTTCCCTTGCAAGGTCGCTTAATACAAGTTTGACTGTATATAACTTAATACTATGTTAATAGCCAACATATGCTCGATGTCTGTCCAGTATGTTTCTACTAAGTGATCTAGTCTCTTTTAATGGACACATCAGCTAATATTAGATAACATATAAACACAAAGATGGATATTCTATAAACTTGTTATACTACACCTTTAGATGATCTTCATGTTTGTTTGTTTAAACTATTTTGGCTCCTTCTATTGGTCAAAAAGGCCTTGTTGGTCTGGCTGAAAAAGTCTCTGACCAGATTGCATGCCCCTTAGCACTTTATTTTTTAACCCCCCTCCCCAGGGGCTGTGAATTCTTTTGTTGCATGGAAGCTATTCAGGTAGATACAGGAAGTCAGCTGCATAAAATAATGCATTGAGGGGCACCTGAAGTTTTTTTCCGCTAGTAAAGCTTGTAAAGTTGCCAAATGATCTTTTAAATTGTCAGTGTGACTTAAAAAGTGATAAAGTGTCAAACAAATAATTGAAAATGACCTTCAACAGCTTTTGCATGTTTATATTACAGATTTTGGCGAGGAATGTATAATAGATTTGAGACTGGAATTCATCCACGAGATCAGATCAAAGATATACTATCTGCAGCCAAGGATCATAGTTCTTCATTAGAGGACCATGTCAGACTTCTAGAAAAGGTAAAAATTCAAAAAGAAAAAAACTTTTCTACTTTCAGACTTGGATAAGTGATCTTATATGATGATTATGCCTCCACTCTGCGGGTGTGGGGATAAACATTTGTCAGTCTGTCCTTATGCCCACCCATAGACTGACAAAACTGTGGAATATTCTGTGTTTTTTTTTAATCAGGGTTATTTCACTTTGTCTTAGGTTTTTTGTTAATAGATCTTTGAGGCAAAATTTATTAACAACTTACTGTCTTGGTTTATTTGTAAAACCTTGTAATTAAAATTTAATTACAAGGTTTTACATAGGTCAGATTGTCAATGCTTGCTTACAAAACTTGTTTACATGCAACCTTGTCAAAGTATAACAGATATTTAACTTTAACAACATGTAATAATTAGTATGGAACATGTTTATTTCTGATATGAATCTATTTGCAGAGATTAACACAGATTGGTCAGATTCTCGGTAAATCAGATGAAACGATACAACAGACGTTACATGCTTGTGTTTCCATGGATTCGTTAGACGGTGTTATAGACGATCCATTTCATCATAGACTGAAAGATAAACTGTTTGATAACCAAACTAATGGTGATTGTCTTATTGTTAACCAAACGGACTTACAAAAACGTGAAAATCTGGAAAAGAACAGACTGATTGACGGCAGTTCAAATCAAACAAAAAGTGACTCAGAATCTGGCTTTGACGAGTCGTGTTCACAGATGTCACGATCAGGTATAGACGATCGTATCTCCACTCTAGAACCCGAGTCTATGTCCCAATCTATCAACCTAGAAAAGTTAAACCTCGACCAGTTACATCTTGAGCTTCAGTCAGTAGCAGTGGATTGGCGCCCATTCCGTAATATATATACATGTAGTTGTGCAATGCCGTTTGACCATTTTATGAAAAAGGCAAGCTTGATAATTATTTAAGTTCAGATGAGTATAGGGTTTTTTCTCACACATATATTTAAGTTCATGGGAGTATGGGGGATTTTTTTTTTACATATTAAGTTCAAGTGAGTATATTTTTTTTCTCACAAAGTTCACATGTGAGCCTAGGATACATCTTCTTATGTTAATATATTCAAGGAAACATAAGAAGTCTTGTTAATATTTGTTTGTGATGGTGAAAGCTTTGAGAAGTTCTATACTTGTTTTATAACGTTTTTCTTTAATTTCCTAACACTTACTTGACTGGGAAAAATTGTAGTCTTACTCAGTAGTTACTCTTCATCAAGAATTGATTTATCAAGAGATAAAGAAATTTAGCTTGCTCATTAAATTTTTTTACCAAATTTGCATTTCAAGGAAGAACACAAGCTGTTTTTTAATACAGTCCAAGATAAATTGGATTGGAATAAATGTACTACTTGCATCTACACTTACTTATATAACTTGTAGATATATGCTTGTTATAATATTTTTACTTATGATTAATGTTGATGTGAAAGCAGAGTGATATAGTTTAAAATGAAGTCTGTTTTTCTACCCATTAGAGTCAGATTTGGACTTCAAAGTTTGGGAATATTTAAATAAAATTTGATTGAAAGTATATAACTCTAAGAGAAAGTGGACAAGAAAGTTTCAGTTTGAGTCAAGAAAAAAACACCTGATATAACTCATACAATAACTCTTTCTCACTTTCTCACCACCACAAGATAATGTAATGTTGTAAGGTCATCATGTATTCACAGATACTTGAAATAATATATAGATACTATACTAAACTATACTAAATATATACATGTATATCCCTTGCATGAACCTTCATCCTCCTATGATATGCATTGAGGTTGAAGTGGTCAAGGTCAGTGATGCTAAAAATAGATACATGTATTTTCTACCTATGCTTATAGAACCATTATTTATTGACCAATATCTTAGATATTTAATCACCATGCATGATTATCATCTACCTTTTTGTGGGAGATCTGAAGTCTGTTAAGTTAAGATATCTGAAGCTAATGTTGATTTTTTTGCCTTTGTATATAGTACATATAGTTAATCATCACCATTTGTGTCCATATTATTTGGTTAAAACTTAAGCCTAAAATAAAATCATGGCAGAAAAAAAAATTTACTTGTGAATTAATGGAATCTATTTTACTTGTACTTCTTTGAGATCCATACACTTTACATACAAACCAATTTACATATTAACATAACATTCAATGGCAAGATAATACATGATATTCAATTCATCAAAATATTTTATATCTTAATAGTTATATCAATTTTATTAACCAGGTTTTCCGAAGGAAAAAACTGGTTATTAGATTGAGGTATGTCGGCGGGCGGGCGGGCGGGCGGATGGGCAGACGGGCGGGCGGCGTAAACAATTTCTTCTGTGCGCAACTCCTCCTACATTTCTCAAACGGATTTTGACCAAACTTTCACAGAAGCTTTGTCATCAAGTGCCCTGGCGCATATTGTCGGGGTTTTGCGATTAGATAATATTTGACCTTATTATGGCCCTTTGTTTTTTTTCCTTATATAGAATATATAGTGAACAATTTCTTCTGTGCGCAACTCCTCCTACATTTCTCAACGGATTTTGACCAACTTTCACAGAAGCTTTGTCATCAGTGCCCCTGGCGCATATTGTCGGGGTTTTGCGATTAGATAATATTTGACCTAATTATGGCCCTTTGTTTTTTTTTCCTTAAATAGAATATATAGTGAACAATTTCTTCTGTGCGCAACTCCTCCTACATTTCTCAACGGATTTTGACCAAACTTTCTCAGAAGCTTTGTCATCAAGTGCCCTGACACATATTGTCAGGGTTTTGCAATTGGTATATATTGGACCTAATTATGGCCCTTTGTTTTTTGGCCGGGTTGCACTGGTGCAAATCCGGGTTATAGTATGGTGAATGTTGGGCGGCGGGCGGCGGGCGTCCGGGCGGCGGGCGGGCGGGGAAAAAAACTTTCGTAACAGTTTTTTCCAGCAACTACTTATCACAGCTCTTTGATATTTGGCATACAGCATTGACACATGGTCCATACTGTGGGATTTGATTTCAGGTCTGTCGCTCATCCCACTTCTGTTTATCCACTTAGTTAATTAGTTAGATTTTTCGACATTAATGGTCAATGGTAGGAAATTTTCGTAACAGTTTTCTCAGCAACTACTTATCACAGTCTCTTGATTTTTGGCATACAGCATTGACACATGGTCCCATACCGGGGATTTGATTTCAGGTCTGTCGCTCATCCACTTCCTGTTTATCCACTTAGTTAAATTAGTTAGATTTTTCGACATTTAAGTGGTCAATGGTAGGAAATTGTCGTAACAGTTTTTCAGCAACTACTTATCACAGTCTCTTGATATTTGGCATACAGCATTGACACATGGTCCCATTACCGTGGATTTGATTTCAGGTCTGTCGCTCATTCCACTTCCTGTTTATCCACTTAGTTAAATTAGTTAGATTTTCGACATTAATGGTCAATGGTAGGAAATTTTCGTAACAGTTTTCTCAGCAACTACTTATCACAGTCTCTTGATATTTGGCAATACAGCATTGACACATTGTCCCATACCGTGGATTTGATTTCAGGTCTGTCGCTCATCCACTTCCTGTTATCCACTTAGTTAATTAGTTAGATTTTTCGACATTAATGGTCAAGGTAGGAAATTTTCGTAACAGTTTTCTCAGCAACTACTTATCACAGTCCTCTTGATATTTTGCATACAGCATTGACACATGGTCCATACCGTGGGATTTGATTTCAGGTCTGTCCGCTCATCCCACTTCCTGTTTATCCACTAGTTAAATTAGTTAGATTTTTCGACATTAATGGTCATGGTAGGAAATTTTCGTAACAGTTTTTCTCAGCAACTACTTATCACAGCTCTTGATATTTGCATACAGCATTGACACATGGTCCCCATACTGTGGGATTCGATTTTATGTTGTAGCTAATCCACTTCCCTGTTTACCTACTGAATTAAATTTTCTACATTAATGGGTCAATTGAAAATTTTTTCCGTAACATCACAGCCTCATGATATTTTGTATACATATGCAACCCGGCCTTTTCTGTTTGACCCATTTTTTTCATTATACGAGAATATATAGTGAAAGTAATTTTTCTGTGCGCAACTCCTCCTACATTTCTCAACGATTTTGACAAACTTTCTAGAAGCTTTGTTATCAAGTGCCTGGCACATATTGTCGGGGTTTTGTGATGGATAATATTTTACCGAATTATGGCCCTTTGTGAATTTTTTTCCTTATACAGAATATAATAGTGAACAATTTTCTACAGTGCGCAACTTCTCCTACATTTCTCAACGGATTTTGACCAAACTTCACAAAGCTTTGTCATCAAGTGCCATAGCACATATTGTCGGGTTTTGTGATTAGATAATTTTTTACCTAATTATGGCCCTTTGTTTTTTCCTTATACAGAAATATATAGTGAACACTTCTTCTCTGTGCAATTCTGTGGGCAACTCCTACAATTCTTAGGGATTTCGACAAAACTCTTGCAGAAGCTTTGTCATCAACTCTTGCTGCATGTTGTCAGGGTTATGAGATTTGATAATGTTTGACCTAATTATGGCCATTTATTTTTTTTCCCTTATATAGAAATATATTGTTTTTGTTCCATATATAGAATATAAAGTGAACAAATTCTTATTTGCACACCTCTTTCTACAAACTATTTTTGACAACTTTCACAGAATTTCTCATCAAGAGTCCTTGTGCCATATCATGGGGTTTTGTGATTTTGGGTGGCGGCGCGGCGTTCACACTTTAAAAAAATGCCCTGCATGACAAAGCTTCTGTGAAAATTTTTGCTGAAAACTGGTTGCATCGCATTGCGATGTTCTTGTTTTTTAATATTTCAAGATATTTTCTTACACCTTTAACTTATATAAAATACTTGATGTATATATATGTTATACTTAAGTTACATTTTTGTTGACAATTTCTATTTACGTGAATTATTTAATTTTACTTCATCACATGTTAACACAAAACTCAAACCTTTTTTTACTTTGTCCAAAATTCTACACATGTTATGATAAACTGTATTCAATTTTTATATTTATGTATTTTATGTTTTGTTATTTTGTAAATACTAAAAAACACTGGTGGAATTTGTGAATGTCTTAACTGGGGGATTTAGGAACAATCAAAATAAGAAATTTATTGCACAAGACCTGATTCAAGACATGTGTTTACATTCTTTCTGTGGAAATTACATAATCTTTAAAAATTTTTTTTTTCTTTTTCCATTATTGGTCAACCTTAATGAAAAGTTCTATACAAGTTCAAATTAAAAGCAACTAATGAAGAACCTTTTACTTCACAGTAAGAAAATACAACATAATTTTTGGCTTTCAGTTAGAATATGTCACTTTTGGCACACATTCTTAAATTGTCAGAATTTAAATTATAGAATTACAAGGTACATTTTAGAGAAATGTCCAACAATTAAAGGATTATACTATATACACATGGATCTTATTTTTGACTCTGTGTATACATAAAACCTATACTTTTATGGAAGAAAATAACATAGGTTTAGATGAATTGATTATTATTTGAATCTTAAATAAAATATTTTTAAAAAAACAGCGGGGGGAAACTGTAAAAAGTAAATAAACAAGTTCATTTTTCCCTCTTGTTGGCAAATAGATGGTCAGGTATACCCATCTTGTAGACAGCGAAACATTTAAATGAATAAGTGACTTTTCTATGATAGATTTTTTTATTAGAAAAAAAAATCTTATAGCCATTTTTATTAAAGAAAAAAAATCTGTCATGCTACATGTAGTATTATTATCAAATTCAATGTAAAAAAACGACAATTGTTCAAAATGATACGATTTCTATTTCAGTACCACTGTTGGAAATGCGGTGAGGTGTTTTGTACAAGATGTATTGCCCGTAATGTTCCGCTGCCCGGTCACGATTCTCACCGACCCGTTCCTGTATGTAAACCTTGCTACAAAGATATTAGACATTCACCGTCGATGGAATTTAACCCACTTATTACAAAGTCATAACATTCAGTGTGATGTAACAGAACCTAGACGTTAAAAACATTACAGCTTAGAAATACACAAGCAATCAACCAATAGAATGATGAATTGTTGATGAAATCATCAGTAAAAGACAAGGATAAAAATTTTATAAAGGCAGATCAACATTGTGTAGATTAAAAATTAGTCTTGCTGTTAAAGAAAATCTATAATGTGAAATATATGAGCACTTGTCTGTAAAATCTATAAAACAGTATGAAAAATTAACATATACTTAAGTTTTATGACAAAACCCTGTTGCAGTGTCCTCAATGTCATGACATATGTTTTGTTTGATTTAGAGCAAACAAAGACATACAAGGTTGTTTCATGTTGGTCTATTGTAATATGATTTAAAACTGGCAGTATTTGAACAAATGTCGCAGCCATAAATTATAAGAAACAAAGTTCAATTTTGCTAATATGTGATTACTACAATATTTTTATCATAGTGTGGACAAATCATGTCGAAAAATGTTCCAAGTTTACAACTGTTAAGTTTTCTTGCCTTTTGAAGATTTCCTTATAGATATCAGACTAAACATGGTTAGTGTAAAAAGTAGAGAAATGTTTAATTTGTAGATTGCACCAAGTTATAGTGAAATCAAAATTAAAAGAAAGAATAATTTTAAGATTAAAAGGTATTTCATACTAAAAGATGTATCGGGAAACATTTGTGCTAACTTTTCGGATAAAAAAAATAATTATGTGTCACAGATTATCATTTAAGATTTACAAACTCTGAGATATGCTTTTGTTGAACCAAAAACAAGATAGAAAATCAAATTATTATACTTATTCTACATGCATTTCTTAGAAATAGTCATTTTTTTCACTCAATTTATTATCATGGTTGTATCAAGGAATTGTGACACATTCTATGTAAGGGCATTGAAAAATGTTGTACAATCTCAAAATGGATGTGATTTTCAAGAATAAATTGATATGAAAAACAAGAAAGACACTTGTTTGAATACTTGAAATAGTAATTTTGTGCTTCTGAAAAGTTTTCAAATGCGAGTATAATTATGCCAGTTGGTCATTCCTTTCATCCTTCGTCAAACATTAATTTATTGCTGAATATCTAAAATATTTAATGTGTTGGCTCATATCACAGATCTCTACCATTGTTACAAGTTGATTAGGTCAAGGTCACTGTTAGGTCAAGGTCACTAGGGCTTAACTTGTGGTATTGCATGTGATGTGTTCTTAACTTTGTAAAAGCATTTATGGGAGGCATCAAATAAGTTTTATCAATATTCTTGTTTTTGTTTAAAAAACATTGATGTGCAATATTTGTATTCTGTAATGAATTAAATCAAATTGTTCTTATGTTAAAGAGTTGGTACATTCTGATGAAAAAAATAATGAGATAAGGAAATTGTCCACATGAATGGAATGCATCTTTAATGTGTTAGTGTGCATTTATTAATTTAGTCAATTTAATATCATATTTGGTTGCTAAAAACTGATTTAGAAACCCTCATAAAAAATCAAAAGTATTTGTTAAAAAAATACTGTTTAATCAGAAATTTTCTCAATGCCAAGATTTTTAGAAAATTAACATTTCTGACTTAATTAACAAATCTATTACAGTTATATAGTAGATATTTTGTGAACATTTATTTCTGTGAAAAGAACCTTCGATTCATGTTAGGAAAATTTAATCTATGTGAAAAATTTCTGATTTTACAGTAATCACAAAACCATATCTGTAATTGTAGTGTTGATCTTATTTTGTTGATTTTTTTTTTGTAGACAAAACTGTGATAATCAATTAATTATGAATCATCATCAGTATAGTAGAGTCTTTAATTGTTGTATAGTTTCTTGTATACATTCAATACTGTTAGATAGTATACTTGTATAGTTTTAATCCTTAGACTGCTTAAGTCAATATTAACTATCCTATGCCACATTTAAGTTTGAGCTGCGCCAGTCTACACATTTGAACAGTCTGACCAGGCTCTATATTGCTAGATGCTCAATTTTGTTATTTTGATATATAAATCCCTTATACCTATAATGAAATGTTCCAAAATCAAAGTAGTAAAGTCCATTACATAAAGTTTGCATGATGGTTAAACCTATTTTACAAACATAATTTTGTGACTTGTTACTAGATGATTAGATGTCAGTCAGTATATTTGTTTACAATTTCCTGACTTTTATTGTACTCACAAGTTTCTTTGAATCCACAAATCTACTGTCTAATTTGAACAGGCACCTTTCCTTTGTTGATGTACACATATTAAATTGAATGTCAGGTCACTCCTGTCATGTGATCAGGAAATAGTCTTAGTATCAATGAATTAAGTTTAATAATGAAGGTATAAAGGCATTTTTGTTGGAAATTGTTAATGTATAACTATAAAGATAAATTAACTTAACTTCTGTTGCTTTGTTCTGCCAAAACCTATTTAAAACTTATTTATTTAGTAACATTCTGTTTAACTGCCATACATAGTATGTCTGTCTGTTCAAAATGCTTGTAATACTCTACATCTATTTATTAATCATAAATGATGCCATTCTGAAATTGCTAGTTATGTTATTCTGTTTTAATTATATTTTTAGTATGTGTTGAATGTAAATGAAAGCTTGTTACTTCTTTATTGTTTCATTTCTTGAAAGATATACATGTATATTTAGTCCATTTATTTATAATTTTATTTGTTATGCTTCCAAATGCAAAAAAAAAAATGTAATTAAAAGTAATGACTGTAAAAGTTGGTTGTCAATTTTGTTTTATGTAATTACCATAGTCTTATAAACATACCAAACAGAAGGATGCAAATTCATATAAAAAAAACTTCATCCAGTGTGGGAATCGCAATGGCCACCTCGGGCTACAAGTAAATAAACACAACACTCTATTAATTAATTGAGCTAAAGTGTGCACCTATACATAATTTTTTAATATAGCCCTCTTTAGCATAAAGGAGAGGTGGAAAGGATACATGTATGTCTCTGATTCAAGGGATCATTTGTTTTCCTATGACAGTACAATTGGTTAGATCTGGAAAGTGGTCCTTAGATTTGTACAAATGAGCCCTAGTCTTATTTTTCTTTTCAATAAAGCTAAACTATTTAGTTTCCATTAAAACAATATTCATTAGTTTGTAAACACAAAATTGCTTGACCGCCTCCGTGGTCGAGGGGTTAGAGTCGATGACTTCTAATCCAGTTACCTCTCTGGCGTGGGTTTGATCCCCGGGAGATGCTTTGGTAGTTTAGCACGGAAGAAGGTAGTCTAGTACTGGTGTAACTCTCCAGGAACGATGGTTCGGAAACTACCCGCCTATATGACTGAAATACTGTTGGGTAAAGGGGTAAAATGAAACAAACAAAACAAACAAAATTGCTTTCAGTGTTTCAGCATCTTTATAGATTCAATAAAGCTTTGGTGTTTAAGAGGCATTATGCTAATTTTTTTGCACTCAAGTTATTTCAAGATTGTCTATTAAAATGGTGATTGACCAATTATTGCTTACAAAAACGCTAAGGGTGAAATATAAAAACTACCTAAATTGCAAAATGACTGGCCCACTCTAGTACCAATACATTCCTAACAATATTTATAAGAATGTCCATGAGTCGAGTGGATTATTGATTATTTTTGAGAGTAAAATATAAAATTGAACATACGGCAAATTGTAAGGGTATTACCACTTTTACCTGTGCACTCACAATAAATGTTTGGATGGGCATTATGTCACTTTAAAAAGTTAGATAGGGAACATATTCTAAAAATAACAAAAGCCAACAGATATATTTATTTTTCTTTATTTTTTGACATTTGGAACTAAACAATAAGAAAATATAAAAAAATATATAAATAAATTAAATAGTACAATTTTATGGTGATTAAATGACTTGATGATCAATAGCTGATATAAGATATCAAATGGAATTCATTTGTATGTTATACAAAAATTAAAAATATGCATACATAATAATATATATGTATGAGAAATGTAAACAAAACAATATGGTAATGCTGGAAATTAAAAAAGAAAGAAAAGAAAGAGAAACATGCATAGAAACTTTTTCAATTTGCAAACATAAATCAATACTTATATGATAATAGTATATAGAGACATTGTAGCAATTGTGTAATGAATGATGTTTGATGTGGGAATGTACAAAAGACGGATAATTACATCCATTTCTTTAAACATATTTGATATGTGTACAGAAAAAAAAGAGTTTTCCATCAAAAGAAAATAAAAGAAATTTAGAACAATCACTCGCAGTGAATTAACACAAATCAGTAACAAGGCAACATTGTTAAATTTGGGATTTTTAGACAAATGTATTTTCTCTACCATTAATATTGGCACCACTTGATTCTAAACGCAACCAATTTCTTAACTACTGTAAAGCAGCATGCCTCCAGATTCATGCTAATTTTCATGAAAATTTTCAAAATGTATTTAAAAATGAAATATCATGAAGTGAACAAACAGTGATTTACACATTGCAATCAGTATTTTACACACCATGTAAATTACAAAAAAATATCAATATATGCAAACATAGCCCTTACTGCATTTGTCAATAGTCGCACAGTAGAAATGCAGGGATAAATATTACAATATCAGTTATAATCGCACAATCTGTAAATTATCCTATGAATCTTACTTTTCTTAAAATCTTAGTACATTTTTTACAATTCTGATTTTCTTGAAATATTTCAGCTTATCTGGAGGCATGCAGCTCCATGATATAACATTTATTTTGGGAAGTAGTAAAACAAATGTTGTAAAGAAATAGCTATTAAAATTTACTTTTCTTCAATATGCAATTTCATAAACAAAGTAAAAAAATTCATGTTAAAATAAACATCATTAAATAAAGCAAAAATACAATCAGTTAACACAATATTTGGTCATACCTGTTGCATATATAATAGTCTTTCAACCTAAATGACCCGATTATCAATTAATGTCCATAAATTCCCAACGAGACAAACCTCCTCAATTAGTATAGTTATGACTGGCCTCTAGAGCTTGCTCAAAATGTGACCTCTAGTGTTTGCTCCATTTGTTACCTCTAGAGCTGGCCTAACTTGTGACCTCAACAGTTGGCTCAAATTGTGACCTCTAGAGTTTGATCAAATTAAGACCTCTAGAGTTTGTTCTGTTTGTTACCTCAAGAGCTGACCTAACTTATGCTCAAATTGTGACCTCAACAGTTGGCTCAAATTGTGATCTCTAGAGTTTGATCAAATTAAGATCTCTAGAGTTTGTTCTGTTTGTTATCTCAAGAGCTGACCTAACTTATGCTCAAATTGTGACCTCTAGAGTTTGATCAAATTGTGACCTAGAACTGGCTCAAATTGTGACCTCTAGAGTTTGATCAAATTAAGACCTCTAGAGTTTGTTCTGTTTGTTACCTCTAGAGCTGACCTAACTTATGCTCAAATTGTGACCTCTAGAGCTGGCTTAAATTGTGACCTCTAGAGTTTGATCAAATTAAGATCTCTAGAGTTTGTTCTGTTTGTTATCTCAAGAGCTGACCTAACCTATGCTCAAATTGTGACCTCTAGAGTTGGCTCAAATTGTGACCTCTAGAGTTTGATCAAATTAAGACCTCTAGAGTTTGTTCTGTTTGTTACCTCAAGAGCTGACCTAACTTATGCTCAAATTGTGACCTCTAGAGTTTGATCAAATTGTGACCTAGAACTGGCTCAAATTGTGACCTCTAGAGCTGGCTCAAATTGTGACCTCTAGTGTTTGATCAAATTAAGACCTCTAGAGTTTGTTCTGTTTGTTACCTCAGGAGCTTACCTAACTTATGCTCAAATTGTGACCTAGAGTTAGATAAAATTGTGACCTCTAGAGTTGGATCAAATTTAGACCTCTACAGCTTCCATTTGTAACCTCTAAAGCTGGCCTAACTTGTGACTTCTAGAGGTGGCCTTACTTGTGACCTCTAAACCTCTGAACAGTTTAATTCTAACGATTGGCACAGTACCACTTTGTCCAGATATAGAGCAATTGTAACAAAATAGCTGAAATAATCTAGCTATAAAAAATGAGGAATATATATGATATGTATGACAAAGTTCATAACTTAACTGTAAATGATATGCTGAAACTAGTGATACGATATATTGCACAAAATAGCTATGATCTAAATTTTTAAAAATTAATTTTTTTAATTTATTTAAAAAAAATTCAATCATTTAAAATCAGTAAAAATAAACATAAAAAGTTTTGTTTTATTGAAAGCACATAATACTACAGAAAGACATGTGGAAAAAAAACTTATGGAGTGGTCAGACATTATGTGACAATATTGATAAAAAAAACTTTAAAAAAAAACTTAAAAGAAGGAAAATATACAGTTGTTCAATAATAGTATTTGATCATTTGTGATAGTAAGAGATTCATGACTACAGCTTTATTTTTTATAACAAATGTATTATTATATACATGTATAGTATTTCTATAAAATTAAATACCATTTTCATGACATAATAAGAAAATTATCACATGGTAAACCTTGTTTCCCACGTTATAAAACTGTCCTGTATCATTCTTTATTTAACATATAATACATATAAAATAGCAAATAACACTAATTTTAAACTCTTAAAATATCTTAAACATTTTAATATACATGTATGACCTATCTTCAAAGCAACAGGTAATATATTTGTCCGAAATGAGCTTAAACTGAGTGACATTTGAAGCCAACACAGTCAATTGTACAGTTTCCTTGATCACTACTGATAAAAAATTAGGGTATTTCAACAAACAAACTTGTTTATTGCTTAACTGAAAAGAAAATACTTAATGTCACAACCCAGACATGTCACAACCCAGTGAAAATGTCACAAACAAGTAAACATATCACAACCAGGAAACATGTCACAACCAAATAAACAACAAACCAAGTTAAAATTCTTGATCCAGTAAACATGTCACAACCTAGTAAACATATGTCACAACCTTGCTAACATAATCACAACCCAGGAAACAAACCAAGTGAACATTCTTGACTCAGTAAACATATCACAACCCAGCTAACATTATGAGTAAGTTTAACATTCTTGACCCAGTAAGCATGTCACAACCCAGAAAATGTGTCACAACCATCGTTGACATCGTAACAAAAAAATTCCTTAATTCCAGTCTCTAGAATTCTGCATTCTAACATCTTTTTTGTCCTCTTTCAAAAGAACCAAAAATTGATATAATTTAAAGCACAGTCTTAAAATAAATGATAATATGTTCAGCCGCCAACTGACGTATGTATCCAGTTGATGGACGTTGAGACTTTAGCATATCTGTTGGCACGTTTAACAGATCTACCATCACATCCGTTCACACCATGACTCATCACACCAATTGCTCTCCATCTTCCTCTGTCATCAGAACACATCAATGGACTACCACTGTCACCCTGTAAACAAATTTAATAGTACTTTCTTTACAGTGAAATGTTGTATCTTAAACCCCAGTCACACTGGAGCTTACGATTACTTGCGACCACCGGCGACTTGTAAAACTGACGATCATCAGTGATTGTCTGCGACCAAAACCCTTTTTGCACAAATTAATTTACTTCTGCAACTATCGTAAAACCAGTCATGATTGACAAACGCACGACAGGTCATAAGCAAACGTATGATGGTCTCAAGATTGTGTGGGATTACTTACGACTACCCGTGACCTGTCATGCGATCACCTACAACTAGTCCTACAACCATCGCACAATAACTCAAGGTTACTCAAGATTATCAGTGACTAGTGGCAATTTGTAAAGACTGTCGTAAGATTGTCGCACTTCCGAACGACGATCGTGCGACAGCCTAAGACCTTATAAGATCACGGCCTGTTTGATCGCAGGGAGATTTTTGTGCAAGCTCAAAAACCTCTCTACGACTGAAATTGGTTGTGGGACCTAAATAACATAACCTGCGACTGTCAAAGATCACCGATGACCGTCATAAGACGGTTTAAAGATTGTCTGCAACCAGTGGTCACTGGTGGTCGTGAACTGGTGTTCACTGGTCGTAAGCTCTAATGTGTCTGGGGCTTTAATTATATCAACAACCCTAAATTAACAATGGACATTTCAACAACTATACAAGTTAAGACATGGTAAAGTAATTTAAAGTATCTTCTAAATTAATTGATACTAAGGGTTCAAGCATGATCAGCAAATAGGCTGAACCAGCATTTAATAAAATCTACATTACAGGCTGAAATAGCACCAAAACCAAAATAGCAATAGAAACCTACCTTACAAGCTGAAATAGCACCAGAAATCTACCTAAGAGTCTGAAATAGCAATAGAAACCTACCTAACAAATTGAAATAGCACCAGAAACCTACCTTACAGGCTTATACAGCACTCATATATAGAAACCTACCATACAGTCTGAAATAGCACCAGAAACCTACCTTACAGGCTTATACAGCACTCATATATAGAAACCTACCATACAGTCTGAAATAGCACCAGAAACCTACCTTACAGGCTTATACAGCACTCATATATAGAAACCTACCATACAGTCTGAAATAGCACCAAAAACCTACCTAACAGGCTGAAATAGCACCAGAAACCTACTTAACAGACTGAAATAGCACTAGAAATCTACCTTACAGGCTGATAGCACTAGAAACCTACTTTACAGGCTGAAATAGTTTCATGGCAGAAACCTAACACTAAACAGCACCAGAAACCTACCTTACATGCTGAGATAGCACCAGAAACCAACCAAACAGGCTGAAATAGCACCAGAAACCTACCTTACGGGCTGAAATTACACTAGAAACCTACCTAACAGGCTAAAATAGCACCAGAAACCTACCTTACAGGCTGAAATAGCACCAGAAACCTACCATACAGGCTGAAATAGCACCAGAAACCTACCTAACAGACTGAAATAGCACCAGAACACTACCATGCAGGCTGAAATAGCACCAGAAACCTACCTTACAGACTGAAATAGCACCAGAAAGCTACTTTACAGGCTGAAATAGCACTAGACACCTACCTTACAGGCTGAAATAGAACCACAAACCTACCTTGCAGGCTGAAACAGCAAAAGAAACCTACCTTATAGGCTGAAATACCACCAGAAACCTACCGTAAAGGCTGAAATAGCAACAGCTAGAAACCTACCTTACAGGCTGAAATAGCACCAGAAATCTACTTTACAGGCTGAAATACCACCAGAAACCTACCTAACAGGCTAAAATAGCACCAGAAACCTACCTTACAGGCTGAAATAGCACCAGAAACCTACCAAACAGGCTGAAATAGCACCAGAAACCTACCTAACAGACTGAAATAGCACCAGAAACCTACCATACAGGCTGAGGCTGAAAATAGCACCAGAACCTACCACCTACAATAGCAAAACCTACAGACTGAAATAGCACCAGAAACCTACCATACAGGCTGAAATAGCAACAGAAACCTACCATACAGGCTGAAATAGCACCAGAAACCTACCTAACAGACTGAAATAGCACCAGAAACCTACCATACAGGCTAAATAGCACCAGAAACCTACCTAACAGACTGAAATAGCACCAGAAACCTACCTCACAGGCTGAAATAGCTTCAAAAACCTACCTTACAGGCTGAAATAGCTTCAAAAACCTACCTTACAGGCCGAAATAATGCTAGAAATCTACCTTACAGACTGAAATAGCACCAGAAACCTACATTACAGGCTGAAGTAACACCAAAAACCTACCTTACGGCTGAATATAGCTTCATGGCAGGAACCTACCTTACAGGCTGATATAGCAACAGAAACCTAACTTACCAGCTGAAACAGCACCAGAAATCTACCTTACAGGCCGAAATAATGCTAGAAACCTACCTAACAGGCTGAAATAGCACCAGAAACCTACCTTACAGGCTGAAATAGCACCAGAAACCTACCTAACAGGCTGAAATAGCACCAGAAATGTACATTACAGGCTGAAATAGCACCAGAAACCTACCTTACAGGCTGAAATAGCACCAGAACGATATCCAGCACATACTGTAGAATTTGTGTTCAGTGGTGTAGATATTCCATTGGCAGCACAATCAGCATCTGACCACAATCTCATCTTGCCTTCACGGAGATAATCAACTGACACTATAATGTATAAAAATTGAATATATTGTAGAACATTTAATCATATACCCACACTGGTTTCGGGACTCTGTAAAAACAGTATTGCACAGCCATGCATATATTGATGTGACATCATTTGGGTCATACCACAGTATAAAGACATGTAAATGAAAAGGTGGTTCATTAATATCTTCATTAATTTTAAGTTCTAAATTTGGAAATAATTATTAAATTAAGAAAATGATATTCATGTAGCTTCAGTACTAAATTAATTGAAGTCTTTGAATAAAATAATATGAATGCCAGTGGCTTGCATAATATAATTTTATTCAACTATTCCAATATTTCCATGTCATTTCAATATCAGTGGTTAAAAGGGATGGCAACGTCTCAGAACTTATTTCAGTACTTGAGTACTCATGTAGTCATTCTTCAGATTGAGTATTGGGTTTAAGTCTGACTAACCCAATACTCAATCTGGAGAATGACCGAGTACTTTTAACCACCTTCCTGATGGCAGCAACCAAATAAATCCAACATGTGGCCATTGCAGACCAAGATTAGATGGCAAGGAAATTAATGCTGACTTTCCTGAATACTGATTGTAAACAAATGTCGTATTGAACATTGTTTAACCTATAATATAGTATAGTATACATTGGGACTTTTTGAAAATCAGCATAAAATGTACCTTCTTGTGTATTTATGAAGCCCCAGCCTGCAAGGTAACATTGGGAATTTGTCGGAAAGACATCATTTTCATCAGGAAAGCATATTGGTTGCACATAATCAGTATAAAGTAGAGGTAATTTTAAATGTAGCAATGCCAAGTCCCATTCGGTAAGTCCGGTTTTAAACTGGATCATCTTAGGGTGAAGAATAACTTCATCAACTTGTCGGCTCTGTGAATGTACATCACCATGTCTCTGTCGTGTGTTTGTTCCGGCAGTTACCTCAAAAAAGTGTGGAGTTAAACTGTAGTTGGCTGTTGATGTTCTGTAAAAGATACAAATAAGAAACACATGATTACCTTATCTAATTATAGCCTTAAAAATGAGCTTGTTAGAAATTACATTATCTTTGCATTCAAAATAATCAAAAACATCTTCCATTTTTCAAACTTAATATTGTTATAAATGCTTAGAGTAATATGTGGCCAGACGCTTTATGTAACATTATTGCAATATAACAGCAAAAAGGTCTTTTGGAATTTAAACAAATAGGACAAGAACAATGCAATATTAATTATTCTATAAACTTACACAATACAATGTGCTGCTGTAAGAATCCATTGCTGATTAACTATCACGCCACCACACCATCCCTCTCCTAGCCTAGTTATAGACACGACCCACGGCCACTTGCCTGCTGGAGCTAGTGTACCTCCCACAATAAATGGACTCATTATCTCAATTTTCCTCTCACCACAAACTAAATCAAATATATGTGCAAAATTTTAATATGCTTTAATGAAGTCATAAAATGATTAACAGTGTAGTTGCCAGAATTTAAAAGACATTCACTGTGCCCTGTATAATGTGAAATTCTGTTCAACAAAAATGTTGAAGTACAGAATTTCACCCAGAGTGTAGACCATTGGACCCTCCTAAGAGACCATTCCCTCCCAAGAAATTTTCAAATTTGAAGATTCTGTCCAAAATGAAATATTTAAGTATAAAATTCTGCATGCAATTAAATTCCAGCCAGAATTGTTCTTGTTTTCAGCCCAGAAAAGTCAACAAAGTTTATTTCTTTGTGAGATGGAATGACACAGAATATGCATTTCCCGTCCCTAGATTTGCCACTACTTGCCAGCTATTTCCACTGAAAAGGGTGGCATTAAGTGTAAAAAAGGTGGCATTAACTGGAAAATGACAAAATTCCACTCTTTTTCCACTGTAGTGGCAAAATTGCCACCAAATGCCACTATCCTTTGGTAGCATTTAGGTGGCATTGAGTGGAAATTTGAACATAGACTTTTTTTATGGTGGCAAAAGGGTGGAAATTGGTGAAAAATGAAACTTAGTTTATTTTGAAGGTGGAAAATGAGTGGCTTTTAGTGGAAAAGTGAAACTCTAACTATTTTCTGGGTGGCAAAATAGTGGAAAAAAACTTAGAAAATTTTGTGAATAACTTTTAGTCGAAAAGGGAAACTCTTAACTATTTTCTGGGTTGTATAAAAATTGGTGGAAAAAACTGAGAAATCTAATAATTGTGCATTATATATATAATGCAGGGTTTAAGATTTATTTAAGTCAAAGCTCCAAACTGAAATAAATCTGTTTATAGTTTGTACTCTACCAAAGCATCAAGTGAACTTTTTATCAAAAATATAATTTATTGAAGTTGAACAGTTAGAAAATTTTATCAGAAACTCATATTTCTTAAACATACTAGAATGCCATGAACACAATTCTGATACAAAGTCACTGCCTCACAGTAACGGTATGATAATTCCAGCTGTAAAGTAGCAGGAAAAGACACAGAAATTGGACGTAAAATCACTTTTCCAGGCGTTAAACACATATAATTATGATCAGGAAAAATTAGAAAAGTATGGGGTTACTTAACTTCCCATTTTTTATGGCAGTACTTTTCTTTAGGGATGTAAAATTTGACTTTCAAGTAAAATGTTTATGTTCCATTCTATGCTTGTAAAATAAAATTACGGCTTTTAACGTGTACTTTGTTCTTTAGTTATAATCTGTACATTAATTAAATAGTTGAAATGTTCTTCTATGCCCAGAAAATGCATATCTCTGCATAAAGTTTGTTGCTTCTTCTATGATATTTAATGTCAATCTTGAATAAAGTTTGACTTTTGTCTTTTCTTCTAATTGACATAATAAATTGTCTCTTCATTATTACTTTAAACTGATATCTGGTGAGTACTAACACTTTTCATGTAATGCTAACAATAATTAAAGTGAAAAATGCAAAGGGCAATAACTCCAAAAGTATGCAAAGAGTTATGGTTCTTAAACACAGCACATTACTCAAAAAGATCTATATCTGTGAAGTTTCAAATTAATATCTCCAGTACTTTTTAAGCTTAATGATCAAGACAAAAATTAAGCATAGAGAAGTAAAAAATGGCAATAAACCCCAAATCATGCAATAAAAAGTTATGGTTCCTTGGCATTGTAACTTCTCATAAATGAGATTTAGTTATATGTGGAGTTTAAAATTATTGTCTCTAACATCTTTTGTGCTATGCTTTCAGAGGCTTTAAATCTATTGTAAAAATTAATGTGTGAAAAGTAAATAAGTCATAATGTCTGATAAATTTCTTACAATCAGGATAAGTAAATACTAGCTAGTAAATACTGCATCCTCTAAGATTTAACAACACAGCATACATCTAAGATCTGATAAAACTACGGCCCTCTTATCTAGTAATCTATGAATGGGGGTTAATAGTTTACTCATGCTGACCAGAATGTTCCATTTGATTATTTTGGGAGAGGCAACATTATACATGTTTTTATGTAGAATTTGTCTTAAAATAGCATGCTAAATTATCTTTCAAAAGCTTATTTCTACTCAATCTATTTAGGTATTAGATATAGTTATACATTCAAATGAATGTAAAAAATAAAATGATGGGTGCTATGGTTTTTGGAAAATCCCTCACAATTTAAAATTATAATGGACTGTCCATGCAGTTACACCGTTGTAAAGTTTGAATTCAAAGGAATTGAGGTCAGTTAAAGCTTGCAAACACAAAGGAAATTATTGATATTGTAGCAATTCTGGAGATATTTTGTTTAAAATGTAAGGGTGCATATTTTTGATTTCTCAAAGAAAACATTTAAAGTCTTATTAGTGTGGTAAATAGAAATGAGAAGTTTTAACTGAAGTGTGAATGTGTAGACAAGAAGATAAACAGCAGAATCATTCCCAGTCAAAGTTTCAGGTAAACAACTTTTACATACAATAATTATTGTTATTTATGCAGAAACTGTTTAGTTTTTTGACAGTAAAAATATGAAGTGGTATTGTATAAAATTGTGTTTTATATTTGTTTTGTTTGTAACTTGACTAAAAAGAAAGCTGCATGTACAATGTACATATAAAGAATGTAGGAATATAAAGAATGTAGGAAGATCTTCATCATTTCTTAAATACAATATGTTAGAAATTTTAAGTTTGAGAAAAAAATTATAGAAATTAATCAGTAAGTACAATATCATTATGTACAATATTACATCAATCAAACTATAGATAACCTGAGGTACCTATTACTACAACTTTCATGCTATAAACAATTTTCCTTGTGTGTCACATGTGGAGCAGATTAACAGTAACTGATTTATTAGTAAGTTTCATTCCTTCATTGTTGTAATTCAGCTTTCATGGTTCAGTAGATAATTATATAACCATAACTAGACAGTCTAGAGTAACATGCTTCTCACTTCCCCTCGGAGCGTGCACGTCGCTGAGAAGGCACAGGGCATCGGCAGAAGATTTACAACTTGGCTGGTAGACACAACTTAAATTTTGCCTTCAACCGTGGGCGGTAACTACGGAACTACTTCGTCACTTCTGCGGACCAGCTGCCGATGTCCTGACTAATGCCGAGGGGAGTGGCCCTACAAAGTAGGCTGAGACGACGAGGATGGTGTGCTAGGGTGCGTGAGCCCCTAGCACAGATTGACGGCTTGTAAGGCAGGCCTATAGCTGGCACCAACAGCCCTTTTCAGGGCTAAAACACTTTTCTTATTGTCACTGGTTACTGTACATTTAGGTTCTCATTGACCGCCGTACAGTGACCTACTTTTCGGCTCAAAATTCATATCTTTGGCTAATACTCCGTGGAAATTGCATGGAGGTAAATTATCACCATTTTGTGCTTCAAAATTAACTCTTTAAGGACATGACTGGTGACATGTCCGGGGTCCGTACTCGACAGCGCAAGCTGCATTTTGTGCCCGAAAGGGCGGATGGACCCTCATTAAGCTTTAACTACATACATACTAGAGTAACATGCTATTAGGAGAATGACAGTTCATAACAGAAACAGCATTAAATAAGAATTATTATTTTGCAGACACAAAGCAATGAGGAGCAGCCTGGAGCAACACATTTGATCTTCAGTGGCTTTACAAAGGTATCTTGTTAATTCAAATTTATTTTAGAATTAATAGGAAAGAAGTGTCACAATACCCAATAAGACACTTTTCAGTTCTTGATAAATATAGCTATTAGTCACTATTTACAAACCTACTTTAATTCAAACTCTTTATGACACTTTAATTTGCATTTACATTTTGTTTTACAAATTTTAGAGTTTTTGTACATATTAGCTTGAAAATTTTATCAAATATTTATCCTGATGAAGGTTCGTTAAGAACTGAAACTGGAAGATTATTAATTACTCAACCTGCACTGGTGTTGATGTGTTGTATTTCTTTATTTCTTTCTTATTTTAAAATTTTAGAGTTGTATACATATACCAAGGTCTTATAAAAGTGTTTCATTTTCTGTTTTTACATATTAGATATTGATAGTCATTTTCTGTCTTTACTTATTTGATATTGTTAATCATATTTTAGGACCAAGTGATGGCAGAACTGAAGCCATATGCCTCAAAAGAGAAAGGTACAGCAAAGCTCTTCAGAATGCTATTCAATATAGAAGAGATTAAAGGCCGCTCATTGTTTGGTATGAGGAAAGGGAACAGAGAGTCTGACGCCAGACCTTCTTGTGCAGACAAGGCAAAACTTAAGTTCTTGGAAGGTAACTAATGAACTGAATGAAAATATCATTTTTGATTCTGCGTATATTTTCTGCCTTGGAGTAAATAAGAAAAGTCTGATTCTTCCACGTCTGCAGTGCTGTTTTTTAAAGTGTTTTAATCATATCTATGCACTCAAATTGAATATAGAAATATCCAATAGTCATATAAAATTGTAAGCTTATGTTTTTAATTATTGTATTAATCATTCATAATTTTTTTTGTTTTAGATTGTGCGCTCGAAAAGTTGCCGACAACCTAAAAGACTGAACTCAAACCATCCAGGAATAGCAAGATAAACTGAAGAAAATAAATGGACTAATGTTTTGCTATTTTTTGAGACAATATATAATTTCATATGGAAACATTAAAAAGGATTATTTTTAAAATTTGTTTGTTTCCAATTTAGGGTACAGGTGACTTTCAAGCAGTTTCCAGCTATTGCCACCCACAAGGTGGAAAATTTCTGAAAGGGTGAAAATAGGTGGCATTTAGTGGAAACTGAATTTGCCACTATCTGGTGGCAAAATGGTGGAAAAGTGTCTAAATACTCCACCAATTTTCCACCCTTATGGTGGCAAAAGGTGGAAATAAGTGGCATTTGGTGGAAAATAAGTTTGCCACTCAATGGTGGCATAATGGTGGAAATTTGTCTAAATACTCCACCAATTTTCCACCATTATGGTGGCAATAAGTGGAAACAAGTGGCATCTAGTGGAAAATGAGTTTGCCACCCTAAGGTGGCATAATGGTGGCATTATGGTGAAAGTTTGTCTAAATACTCCACCAATTTTCCACTCATTGGTGGCATTTAGTGTAAAAAAGGTGGAATTAACTGGAAAATTATATAACATCAGTCCTGCTCAAATTTTTCACCATTTTCATGATTTGGGTGGCATTTTGGTGGCGTTTTGGTGGCATTATTGGTGGAAAATTGTCTAAATACTCCACCATTGAAAAGGGTGGCATTTTAGTGGCAAATCTAGGGACGGGTTCCCTTCATGGTCTGCCCAGAAATCACTGATTCCGTGCCAACCCTGTCCCAATTCTACCCAGAATCCATGCCAAAATTTTGTACAGGCACTGATTAAGACTTACATTTTTATTTATTTTTTAGCTCTTATTCATAATTTATACATAATGCTCCTAGTGTGATGTGTACATTAAAGTTAAAACTAACCACTCAATACTTTTAAATATTAAATTGCAGTATTTATCACCATATTTTTACTGCACGACTAACACAGTAAGGGCTTTTTGGGGACATATTTTCTACCTCCTACAGCTAATTTATATGGATTGTAAGATAAGTGCAATTTGAAAATTTGTAATTTACTTTTTAATTATTTTTTCACTTCACAATATTTTACTTTCAAATACATTTGTAAAATTTTCAAGAAAATTAGTGTGAATCTGGAAGCATCCTGCTTTAAGATTAGGATACTTTACCATTACAAAAAATGAATAAAGATTACCATTTTGCCGGCATTCCACACCAATAACTTTATTTCCTGGGCATGATGATCTGAAACAAGATAATGAATAAAATACATTATTTTTATCACACATAATTGATAAAGGCAAAAATAGAGAAAAAAAATTGTAAAAGTTTATCAAAGGTAACAGTCATGTAAAATAAACGCTGTTAACATACATAAAACATCTTACATATGTTGTCATTACATATTAACTAAAGTCTAGGAGCCCGCCCTTAACTGATTTTTTTAGTAGCTGAAAATAATTATCTTTTAAATTCCAAGATGATCCAAGATACGTTCTTTTGCCTTAAAGTTGGGGTAATTATGATAAAAAGGCATTCCAAGTTAAAAAGCAATGACATGTACTTAAGAAAGTTCATAAAAAGTATGGTAATTAAACTGCAACAGAAACCCAAACGTCCAACAAGGGACATATGAATGACAGAGTTCAGCAAGGGGCATAATGATGTCATAATAAATGACAGTTAAACAAGGGACTTAATGATATCATAATAAATGACAGTTAAACAAGGGACATAATGATGTCATAATAAATGGCAGTTAAACAAGGGACATAATGATGTCATAATAAATGACAGTTAAACAAGGGACAAAATGATGTCATAATAAATGACAGTTAAACAAGGGACTTAATGATGTCATAATAAATGACAGTTAAACAAGGGACATAATGATGTCATAATAAATGGCAGTTAAACAAGGGACATAATGATGTCATAATAAATGACAGTTAAACAAGGGACAAAATGATGTCATAATAAATGACAGTTAAACAAGGGACTTAATGATGTCATAATAAATGACAGTTAAACAAGGGACATAATGATATCATAATAAATGACAGTTAAACATGGGACATAATGATGTCATAATAAATGACAGTTAAACAAGGGGCATAATGATGTCATAATGAATGACAGAATAAAAAAATGGGCATAATGATGTCATAATAAATGACAGAGATTTCTCCATTTGAAAGTGATAGTTATAAATCTAAGGCAATATCTTAATGGTTCCAATGAAAAATAGGTTTGAACAACTAAACATTTCATACAATAAAAAAAGACTGAACTATTCTCCAAGGGTCAAATGTATTTTTTGGAACAACACTTAACCCTTACCCCTTGAAATATCTTTAATGGACTTCTCAATCTTTATATGTACAAAACAACCCTTAAATTCATAATAAGCAGACGTCATGGGTGGATTCAGTTGCTGCTAGCAAGCTAAGGGTTAATTTTCTCACAGTATTTTTTTTTTGTTACTCAAATAAGTACCATAAAATAATCATCCGCAATTTTACCTTAATACTAAATCATTCAAGTATGTGGAAACACTGGGAAAACCTCCAATGTTTCATGATTAAACAGGAACAACTGTCAAATGTAACGTCATCATCAAGTTCACCTAGCTTTAAATATGATTGTGGAATATTATTGGTAATCCCTTTAATCCCAAATTGTTTGGTTAGAAAATGATTCTGTACTCATAACTGAACCAAATACCAAACAAAAAACCTTTTCTACAAAGACAAAAACCTAGTGACAGCTGTTGGTAAACTCTCTTCCAGGTAATGAAGCAACTCTCTGTGTTTACGATCTATAGGGGGCTTACCACAGAGAGTTAAAGAGGTGTGTCACAAAATTAGACTAATTTTCTACAACAGACTGTGATTAACTGATAACCATCTATCCTGAACTTTAAAGGGATTGCTTATTCACCTCTAGATGATAAGAGGAGTTATATGTGGAGATATGAGTGGCAGTACCAAGAATGTATGGAATGCTACGTATGATGTCATAATGATGTCATAATTATGTCAACCACTTATCTACCTAGCTATCTCAAATACATGTACTTATAAAAAAAAACATCTCACAGACTCACGTTCCATAAATACACATAACATTGAAATGTGATAATTGAGGGAACTCCACCCAGGGGTCTAATTTAAGCCTCAAAATATGACATTTAAATCTCTTTCATAGATCAGTAGGGGTTCTTAAAATAGAAAGATATTCAAATGATAAGAAATAAATTGAAAATCTTATTTTTCTGCTGTTCTTAGCCAAATTTGAGTGAATAGCGTTGCAATGGATCACACAATTAAAATAATTATTCTGAAAAAACGGAGTGAGCGAATGATCTGATATTTTGCACAAAAGATATTGGTTTAAATCTTCATCAAATGGAACAATAATCTGACGAAAAAATATTAAAAGTGAACTCTGTCATGTAAAAAAATCTCAATGGAGTCCCTTTAAAGAAGAGAAGTGTTGCAGTCAAAAATCCTCATCAATATTGTATATTCCTAATCCTAAGGGATTTTATGCAATTGTATGAAAAAATATACATTTTCAATATATAAACTCTTCTGGCTCAACAAACTATTTCACATGGCACCCACCATCACTTAACAAACAATATACACTGTTTATTACCTTTGCTAATTTTTAAAAATTTGAAGATAAAAATACTTGAAAATTGAACATCCAACATAAAACCCAGACTGCAATTGTAGCTGGAGGCACCAGGTGCGGTTTTTAACTAATATGCAAAACACATGTTATTCCAATTTACTGATGCTCAATGAGTTAGAATAAAGGGCATGATTTTTTATGGTAACAATTAATTCATTCACCATTTAGTTCACTAGTGCTTGTTCACTGAAAAACTATAATTATTATCACTCCACCACGCTTTGTTACTACTTAGTTACTCAGTGTTAGCCGCAAAACCCAAATTGTAATACCCTTAATTAGAGGTTTAGTCACGCTTTTTCTTGACTTGGCAGAAAAAACGAAAAAAAAACACATAAAAACATCAAAAATAGCAAAAAAAACATATGTTGCAAATTAGTTAGAACGCAGGAATTTAAGTTCAATGACTGTGCATAGTATACTCTAGAAACTGATTAATGAAATAGATATGTAAGAGATAGTATAGTAACTGCTTATCGTGAACAATGGCATACCTCATGCTACAGTCATAATCATAATAATGTCAGACAATATACATGTATAATTAGCAATTAGAAAGAAAGCAGTGACTGAGCTCTTGACTGCTCACCTGAGTTCCTTAACCCATTACTTCATATACACGCCTTTTAACGCCTTTTTCACCCCCCCCCCTTTTTGTTGTCTCAAATGATGAAAAAATGCCTTATTTAGGCCCCAAACACTTGTTTTTGTTTGAGAAATGTTGTTAAAAAAAGTGACCTCTTTTTCGGCGCGGCCCCCCAAACAAAAGATACATCAGGGGGTTGCCAGAAGGGGGATGTGCCCCCTTCTGTTTGGGGGGTTTGAAGGGGGGCGGAGTCCCCCTCATCGCCAAGAAAAATTTTGGACTTGGGAGAGGCTGTAAATGACCCCAGATTGATCATAAGGTAACGTGTAACCAACGCTGAAAAGCATTTGACTCTATCTCAATCCATTGAGAAAGTGCAGCACTTTGAAATCAATTTTGATGGAAAAAATCAACGCAAAATAGTGATTTTTGGCAATTTTGAGATGTCCCCTCGTTGCCATGGTAACAGAAAATTTAAGCCTGAGCATGTTGTTGCAAGTGCAATGGTCCAGTCAACATTTGTGCCAAGTTTGATTAGTGTTGAAGCATTTTTATAGTATTATAGCAATTTGAACTTGTAACGGGAGACTTTTCAATGAAAACAGCCATTTTTCACAAAATGCTCATGAAGTAATACTTGTAGCTTATTTTCTGGCTGAATAATTATGATGAAAACTTGAAGCATATTTGAACTTCAAGTTTGTTTCTACATTCTTATCAGTTCTAGGGTCACATAAGGAAACATGGTCCACAGTAGGGCTTGAACCCAATACTTCCCACACAACCCTTTAAACTATATATACAGTTTAAGCACAGCTTCATTTGTCAATAATGATGCTATATAATTGCCTCCCTAATTAATCAAGGACAAAAAATTATGTTTCCTATATATAATAACGTAATGTCTTATAAAGGAAACAGGTGCTGAATAGTATTATATTTCATGGAGAAATTTAATCATATACAGATAAGATCATAACAATAAGCAAAATGCCTGAATCATAAACTCAATATGCACTATCTGAAAATTATCCACGTCTGACAGAGTTATCCACCTCTGACAGTTAGAGTTATCCCCCTCTGACAGTAAGAGTTACCCATCTTTGACAATTAAGTTACCTACATATCCTACAACATACATGTATACATATAATACCAACATTTAGCTTATGATAATGGACATCCATCAATCTTTTTTATGACTATATGAAAAGGTATTTAGCCTAAATTGAATGTTGGCATACATGCTGACAAAGATCTTTAACTAAATTGATATTTATGTAACATGGAAGAGAATACTTGTGATAAATATTGCTCAAAAAGTTATTTATAGTAATCAGAGGATATGAGCAGAAGACAGGAAGTTTTACAACACAGTATGATCAAACATTTTCTCTGGAATGAATATTTATCATTACAACAGTCAAAACAATATCGCAAAACAAACAATACAAAAAATACATATATACCTCTCCATGATTGCTGCATTAAATAAGAATTTATGTGTGTCAATAACAAATTTATCTCTTACTTCTAATACAATAAATATTATGTTCTTAAAGTTTAAAAGTGAATGAAGAAATTAGGACACTTTCTAATTAACTGACTTTCAAGGTATATGATTCACCTACAATCAAAACCTGAAAATAGTGAAATATTCAAATAGTTTGATCTTTACCATACAATTGTATCAATGTAACTAAGTGTTAAAGAATCATTTCTTGTAATTTTGAGTTACAGTTGTCTAGACAATAGCTGTTTCACGCTCAAGGTATGTGTGTATAAAAAATTGTCAAGCTGTCTGACTCTTTTTCCATGGTTTGTAAAGAGTGAGAATGGACATGAAATCACTAATATGGGATTAATGCACTTGAATTAGGACTAAACTTTATTATTTTCCGTACATAATGTGATAATGTTAAGTAAAATCACATTATATAACATTGAGTATATCATGTGAATAAACAAAACTAATATATTTCCAAAATATAATCATGACAAAAATATATATGTCCATATAAAAGTATTAACACATCAAATACTTACTTTTTGTCAAATTTGGCCAATAAACTCTGATTCAATGACAAGCTTATGTGGTTATCTTTCAACACCATAAATCCATTTGATAAGGAAACTCCTGCATTGATCTGATCTATTTCCCGGCTTCTTAAACTGTCCCTGCAAAAATACATAGATATAAAACATAAAATATAGCTGAAAACAGTATGACTATTCTTTAACTACATACTTCCAGGCCTTTTGAAAATTCTTAGTACAGGGAAACCTTTTAACAACAGTTTCAATTCTTTCAAAAGGAAAACTTCACAATTATTGTAACTATTACTAGACCAACACCTCTCTGTAACAGCCAAAATCTTTGGTTTCTTAAGGGTTTTGCTCTGCAAAGGTTTGACTGTAACTTAAAGGGATCATCTACTATGAGAAAATGAATTAGGTCTTTGTAAATTGAATTTGAAATTACATTAACTTTTTTTTTTTAAGAAAATGTCCAGCATGTTGTGTTTTAGTGTTAAATAGGTAAAATGTAAGATAAGTAGCTTGGGTGAAACAAAATATGTATGCTTGAACCAAAATAGATAAACCAGTCATTTTGTCATATTTCGGAACTCCCATCAACTTATAAATGTATCAATTATATTCCAAAAAAAATTATGGTAATAGGTGAATCCCGGAAAACATGTTTCAAAGGTAAATTCAAAACTATTCAAAATAAGAAATGACATTCATACAATATTAAAGATTCATTATCTGAACAACTAAATACTTGAGTTTTAGTTTGAATAAGGAAGTATAAATGTATATATATACTGACTTTGGCAACAAGTAGCACTACAAAATTCATTCTGTGCATAAAGTACTTTTCTAACAGATATCTTAAATATAATCATGATTACTGGAAATTCAAATATACTAGGTTTACCTGTAAAATGTACACATAATTTAAATATATTTGACCCACCTATAGGATACTGGATCATTCTATAAAATATACTGTATTTACCTGTAACCAAAGTACCGGCAAATGTCATCAGCAACACTGGAGGTCCAGCCATGACTACATACTGGTAGGAACTGATCATGTGACTTGATAGTGACAATATCTGATGAACCTGTGATACCTCTATCAGTAAGTTTTACTGTTAAATGTAAAGAAAAGTTTGTTAAAAGATGAAATATTATTGAAAATGATGGATTCTAAATTCAATCCCTATAAATGCTTGATGGATTTGTATTTACTTTTCATAGACTATTGTAACAAAAAATAATTTAAAACATTTGGGATAGAATGATTATTGATCAAAATACTAGTGAAGCTTGGATTTAACGCATTTAGGGGTGAAGTTTTTTATGATTATCACATTGAGAGAGGTAATCTCTAGTGTAGGAAACTAAGACTAGTTAGTAGGACCCTCACAGTCTAGGTCCGGGAACAGTAACTTTAATATACAAAAATACATTTGTATTCACAAGGGTTCGCAGGATATGAAACAATATTTTGTTTCAAACCAAATGGTTGAATAATCAAGATATCCAAGATGGTGTCCAAGATGGCCGCCAAAATTTCACAAAACCACTTATTATCATTTTTTGGCTGTTTTTTTTAAAGAGTTTAATGCATAAAATATTGTAAATAAATAAAAACTAATTATGTGAACATTAACCATGCTAGGAACTGAAAGTGATTAGCCTGTGCCACCAGTATAAAGAAAGGCTAGCATGCACATCTGTCCAGTCCAACAAGGATATAATACTGCTGGTTGACAAAACTTGCAATTTTAATCTTGATATCCCTAAAATTGATAATGAACTGCTCCAAAAATGGAAGCAGGATCAGTCCATTTAATAAATTCAGCAAGATCAGGGTTATAAAAGGTAAAGGTAAAGGTCTTGTTTATTATAGTGTCACCCCTACTGAAAGGGCCAGCCATTTTGACTTATGAGACACCTTTTGCTTGCATACCATGTACCTCCCAATTCCTATCACTATGTCACTTATAACTTACAACAATCAACTTCATCATCCCCTGACGGGCATTGTTTGATACCATCACAAACTTGTTGAGCTGAGATACAAGAATAATCAGAACACTGGGCTTCATCACTACCACATACACCTAAAATAATTAATTGAAAATAATAAAAAGTGAGATACCTTTAGAATGAGTAAAAATTAAATCTTAAAAGTAATCAACATTAATTTTAGAAAAATAGATTTATTATTTTAAGAAAAGTAGCATAATAAAGGTGTAATAACTATTTTTTATCATTAAATGTCCTACCTGTTACTAAGTTGTAAATATTATCCTCAAGACATTTAAAGCTATTTCTGAAGTTTCAAGTGAATAGCCTACCTACAGTAGTTGTTAGGGTTGGTAATGTATGCTTAAATCTCAAACATTAATTTTCAGTTACAGAAATGGAATACTTCAGTAAAACAATTAATGCAAGAGTTATTGGTCTTGGTAATTAACATAACAATGCCAAAGACTTCGGTGAGGTTCCAGGAGAATAATTTCAGTGATTAATGAGATTATATAGTGGCACATACAGGTTAACCAAAATGTTACATTGAAGCATGGTTGAAAAATACTGCCACTATAAAACTGAATAATCTAATTAAACAATTAGTTTGTACACAACATACTTACCACAATTTCTTTCATCTGAACCATCTGAACAATCCATGTGACCATCACAGAACCATTTTGCCATTACACACATCTTCCTGTCGTCACACGGTTTCTCTGCTAGAATGTTACACATGGAACAATTGTTTTCATCCGTGTTGTCAAAGCAGTCATCGACACCATCACATATTTTGGACCAGTGTACAGACAAGCCATTGTTACATGGCCTATATCCATTGGGCATGGCTGCAATAAACATTCACATATAATGTCATTTCAAAAATTGAGGTTACTTCAGTTTATCTTAACTTTAAAAACTTATCGGAAACTTTTTATAAAATTACATTGAATAATGACAAGTTATCTTTCTCTAAATATTACTGAATTTTGTATATACTATAGTATTTACATTGTTACAGACTACCATCTTTTTCACTTTTTGTACTTTTTTTATTAGTTTTTAAATAGGCTTTCTTGACGAATACAAGTGAATAGCTGCAGATTGTTTTATGCTTGAATCTTTCAAAGAACAATACAAGGAAAACATGTAGTCCACTATGGCAATAGCCCAACTGGGCAATGCCCACTTTGGCAATACACCACATGGACAGTGAGTATCCCGCTGGACAATAGCTAGGACAAGAGCCCACCAAATGTTACACCACTATACTAAATTTTACAGGGAAGACAATTGCCCAATGCTTATCAAAATGCAAGGGGTTTTTACATTTTTTCTACTGTAATATATATAAGAAATAAAGATATTAGATATATATTAGATATTATATATATTTTATTTGACTCTTGTCTACAGATTATATTTGTCTAACTGCAATTATATCAATCAGTTAGAATTCCCCCATCCCCCACCATGCAGCCCCCCCCCCCCCCACAACACACACAGATTGTTTGCATATATAACAAGGGAGTTTTACTAACCTGTGTGCTTTTACATTATATTCAGTTAAATGTGAATACTCCTATGTTAAACCTTTTTTAAAAATGAAAATCCCAAATTTAACAAAGAGCTAATCTATAACTTGATTCTAAATTATTCTATTATGCTTCAAATCATTGCAGGCTACTAATGTGACATACTTCAGACTTTCCTTCTTTTACACAGTATATTCAATCAATCAGAAATTTTCCCCATAATTTCTTTATCGAACTAAATCTATTTATAAATAAAGAAAACAAACTTATACTAAACTTACTACAATTCATTTCATCAGAAAGGTCCATGCAGTCCACATGAAAATTACATTTTACAGAATCTGTCCAGAGACACTGACCTGAGGCACATTGAAATCCAGTACAGTCTGTAATAAACCAAAATAAATAAAATTAGCATTCAATACTATATATAAATTTAAAATTCTTAACATAATGTATGATATAAGCCATTTAAAGAGCCAAGAATTATTATATTTAAGAATTTCAATTTTTATGTTTTTAGGACTCTTGACATCAGTAGAGTTCATTTGATAATAATTATAATAAGAATAATGTTGAATAAAGACAGTAACTTACTAGAGCAGTTCATTTCATCCGATTTATCAAAACATAGTGGGTTTCCATCACATCTAGATGAAGCGTCAACACATTGTCCACTGTTACATCTAAACTGTGACCTCGAACATTCTACAAACATTATCTGCCAATTAGTTTTTGTCCCTTTTACAGGCATAAAGGCATTTTTATCTTAACAAATATGAACATTATGAATTAAGGTACAATGTAATATATGAGCCGCGTCATGACAAAACCAACATAATGGGTTTGCGACCAGCATAGATCCAGACCAGCCTGCGCATCCATGCAGTCTGATCAGGATCCATGCTGTTCGCTTACAGACCCTATAACAAGTAAATAAACTGATAGCGAACAGCATGGATCCTGATCAGACTGCGCGGATGTGCAGGCTGGTCTGGATCCTTGCTGGTCGCAAACCCATTATGTTGGTTTTGTCATGGCGTGGCTCATATGTTTGTTATGTACAGAGAAGAAACTCATGGAAGACAGTGGCAACACAATAAGCTCCACAGTGACAGCATCACATTTGTCACCCAAGGGCTGCTGCTTTGATTCTCAGTTGACAAATTATCTTGGACAATGAGTCAGTCATTGAGAATAAAGTGGTATAAGTAGTCTGTCATTTGTTGAAATTGGTAATTCCTTAAGTTAGTTTCTAATCCATAAATCTGTTTACATTTTGAGTTTCTGACTTGAAGTATTACTATCAAAGCATGCATGAAAAATCTGTTGACAAACCTCCTTATTAGGCAGAACTGTCACGTAAAATATATTTAAAGTTAATATATCAGACTTACGAACACTTTCCTGTCACATCTAACGGTCTAAATCTTGTCAGAGAATTAGAATTTTTTCATGTGTGGATTAGCTATCAAGTTTGCTTACAAAAGGTCAATTGGTCATTCTAAGAAACAAAACGAGTAGAGTCACCCGGGATCTTCCTCTACCAGTAAAGGTGGAATGTGATCATATTTAAGTGTTGGAGTGACTTGACGTACAAAAAAAGTAATCAAATTACCACAATTTTCATATTCATCTTCACCAAGAGGACAATGGAGTTTTCCATCACATACATGAACTTTCTCTATACATGTACCATCTGAACACAGAAACTCATTGGATTTGCAGACTGCAACAATAAAATCAATGTATGTCCGATAAAACTACATGTACTACCAATATAATGTTCAGTACAACCTCTAGTACATCAATGTACTCTGTACAACAACAATATAAAATCTTCCCGAAGTAAAATTTCAGAATAAATTTAACCTCCTAAAGCAACAACTTTCAGCAAAAACTTAAATTTTTGTCTCCCAAAGGGTGTCACTCTGCATTATAAAGGTTGTACTATACATGTAAGGTTTGGGAAAATGGCTGACTTATTTTGATTAATTAAGTTTTTTCATTAGATATTTTTAGTAGATATAACGGAAAGTGCAACAATTCTCTCATGCATGACTCCCACCATCCCTCCTCCCTCACTCACTCCCTTCCTGACATCCACCATCCCTCCCCCTCACTCTCTTCCTGACACCCACCATCCCTCCTCCCTCACTCACTCCCTTCCTGACACCCACCATCCCTCCTCCTTCACTCACTCCATTCCTGACACCCACCAGCCCTCCTCCCTCACTCCCTTCCTGACACCCAGTCACCCACCATCCCACCATCCCACCTCCCTCACTCCCTTCACAATTCCCACCATCCCCATCCTCTCACTCCCTTCCCCTAACACTAGCTTAAGCAGTATCTAATCTTGAAGACATTAAAGATATCAAAATTAAAATTAAAAACAAACAACAACATAACATTAACTGTATAAGATTAAGTAAATGAATATTTACTGTTGACAGTTGTTGTAACTGTTGGAATAACTGTAGTATTTATCACTGGCTTCGTTGATAAAGTACTTGCCGGAGATTTTGTTGGAATATTTGTAGATGATGAGATTAAAGTTGATGACAATGTAGTGCTCAGCACTGAAACATGTACAATATAATTATATTTATAAATCATACAGTTACTTTTAGAGTTGAAGCCAATATAGCATAATCCAGTATATTACACTACAATACAAGTATCACTTGGTATAAAACATTAAAATACAAAAATTACCTGGTATACTACACTAAAATACAACAATTATCTGGTATATTGGGTTATAATAGAAGTATCACCTGGTATATTACACTAAAATACAACAATTACCTGTTATATTACACTATATTACAAGTATCACCCGGTATATTACATTATAATGTAAGAATTACTTGATATATTACACTATAATACAATAATTACCTGGTATATTACACTATAATACAATAATTACCTGGTATATTACACTACAATACAAAAATTACCTGGTATATTACACTTTAATACAAGTATTACCTGGTATATTACACTTTAATACAAGAATTACCTGGTATATTATACTTTAATACAAAATATTACCTGGAATATTGCACTATAATACAAGTATTACCTGGTATATTATACAATTATTGACTAGTGAGCCATTAAATATGATGTGATATTCACCGGCAGATGACATATTGACCGAGGCGATAGCCGAGGTCAATATGACTTTCTGCCGGTTAATATCACATCATATTCAATGGCTCACTAGTCAATAATTGTTTTATTATATGAATAGGCTAAGAATTAAAAAAATCACAAAAAGTACAACCTTTTATAAATGTACAACTTTTGCCTCGTTGAAGCGCGGGAAAAGACGCACTTGTTAGGCGTGCAACGACTACCCGAACGCTGCGCATGCAAAAGTAATTCAAGTTTATACTCATCATTGTGGTGAAGCCTTTAAGTGTAATAGTAAACTAATAATATTTGAATCGAGAAATATGTCATAAAGAACACAATGCAACAATTGTTTTTTAATTAGCACGCGTATTTAACAGTCTACGGTATATGATCATTGAATATGAGTCTCAATCTATTTTTAGACTGGGAAAATCCAATTCAGCCAGTGAATATGATACTACACCCAGTAAATATGATTTTATAAAAAGTTCTGTTGACTACTGTTTGGACCAATGAGATTGCAGCTATATTTAGATCATATAATAATATACTTTAATACAAGAATTACCTGGTATATTATGTTAAAATACAATTATTACCTGGTATATCATACTATATTAAAAGTATAACTTGTAATACAAGAATCATCTGGTATAGTACACTATAATACAATAATTACCTGGTATATTTCACTTATAAATCATAATATTTTACTTGACACTGAAGTACAGTAAAACCTGGTATAATACAATAATGTATAACAATTAAGAGAATTACCTGTTATTATAAAAATTGCTACAATACAAGAATTACCTGGTAGTTTATGCTACAATACAAGAATTACCTGGTAGTTTATGCTACAGTACAAGAATTATCTGGTAGTTTATGCTACAGTACAAGAATTACCTGGTAGTTTATGCTACAGTACAAGAATTATCTGGTAGTTTATGCTACAATACAAGAATTACCTGGTAGTTTATGCTACAGTACAAGAATTATCTGGTAGTTTATGCTACAATACAAGAATTACCTGGTAGTTTATGCTACAGTACAAGAATTACCTGGTAGTTTATGCTACAGTACAAGAATTATCTGGTAGTTTATGCTACAGTACAAGAATTACCTGGTAGTTTATGCTACAGTACAAGAATTACCTGGTAGTTTATGCTACAGTACAAGAATTACCTGGTAGTTTATGCTACAGTACAAGAATTATCTGGTAGTTTATGCCTACAGTACAAGAATTACCTGGTAGTTTATGCTACAGTACAAGAATTATCTGGTAGTTTATGCTACAGTACAAGAATTATCTGGTAGTTTATGCTACAGTACAAGAATTAATCTGGTAGTTTATGCTACAATACAAGAATTACCTGGTAGTTTATGCTACAGTACAAGAATTATCTGGTAGTTTATGCTACAATACAAGAATTACCTGGTAGTTTATGCTACAGTACAAGAATTATCTGGTAGTTTATGCTACAGTACAAGAATTATCTGGTAGTTTATGCTACAATACAAGAATTACCTGGTAGTTTATGCTACAGTACAAGAATTATCTGGTAGTTTATGCTACAATACAAGAATTACCTGGTAGTTTATGCTACAGTACAAGAATTATCTGGCCCCATGCTCACTAAGAAAAGATCAGGATCAAGGGATCCTGATTTTTTTTGATTTTTTTTTATGTTCAAACTATAAAAAATTGCTGATTTGCAAAGAACACAAACTTTTTTGGGATAAAATCAACAAATAACAAAACAAATACAAAAATATTTGGATCAAAATAAGGATCAATTTTAGGATCAAGATCAATATTCTGATCAACTGTAAAATGCCTGTATCATGCAAAAATAACAATAACTTTATTCTAATATTTCATACACTTGCTATTGCAAGTCCAGTTTTATCAAATTGATATTATAATTTTAATCTATGAGGATAAACAATGAAGAATTTAAGAGTTTTTAAATTTGATCTGATCTTAATCCTGATCGAACACGGGGCCTGGTATTATAATTGCTACAGTACAATAATTATCTGGTATACTACACTTACCTGTTTCTGTTGATAATGGTGATGAAGTTGATGTCTGATTTTGAGTGCTTGGTTTCCCTTCATCTCCCCC